CCAACCACTTCCTTACATTGGTATTGGCCTTCAGTATGGTGATGGGGATCCCCCTGTGGAGTACAAACCAAGTAGGTGCCATGGTTGTATCTGATACTTCGTACATTATGACTGATGCTTGTCTAATTATTGTCTCCTCAGAGGTCTGGTTCTTCTTCAATAGAAAATAGAGACCAGCTCATTATATTTTAGTTGTGATGCCATAGCACTGTTATTTAGCACTTGTGCAGAATTGCTTTTCCTCGAATTGGCAGGTAAGTCACTATGAGTCTGAATGGTAATTCAATGTTTATAGTCATCATTATTCTTTAGCATTCTTAGCCCTTCGGGTGTATGCAGTAGGAGGTCAGGCATGGCGCTCTGCTGCTGTTGTATTCATATTGAGCTTAGTGCCCTTTGCAACTAATTTGGTACTGTTGACCCCACTGGAGAAGATGTAGTGTGCACTAACTTATGAAATTTTAGTATAACTTTGCCTCATCCGGGTATGATATTACGGTTGTTTCTGGCATTGGACCGATCTGCATGCAGACTTCAAATGTAGTACAACCTGGGTTGTAGGTGTTATCTTCTCCCACTAAGTCTTCTGCTAACAGGCAGGCAGATGTATGAGTCATACTCCTCTTGTACGATGAATTTCTTGCCTTCACAGCTTACTATATCTTCCAACAGTCTACCTTGAAACACAAATCAGTGTCATTATGGCAGACATAATTGTTCTCATGGTAACCTGGATGAAGACCTACAACATGAAGAGATTTGCAAACTCAGCTCATATGGAGGCTCCTTTGGTGACTCTCTTACTGCGAGATGGTTAGTGCACATACTGTTCATCAAAACCTTCCTTTGTTCAAAGCTCATTCAGTTAATTCCTAAGGCACTTTGCACTTCATGTGCGTACAGAGTGTGACAGCAATTCAAGCTGACAATACATTACAGATTGCTTCTCCTGCTGAACCTGGCACAAGTGCTGTCAGACTACTATGAGGTGTGTTTTGCTACTGTTACTTTTTATCTGCTTACCTCTAACATGCATTCTCATCAGGTCAACCCATTTATGGTCTACTTTGTTAATGTGTTCGCTCATCCCTTTACATTTACTAGAACTTACACTCACATAATCTTGTAGATTCACGTGTCTTATCATATCTTATTTCCTCCTGAATCTGTGCCAGATGCACATCGTGCAAATTCACATTACTTCTAATATCTCCTATATGCACACTTCTGTGCAGAGCTTGCCATTCACCTCAAGGATTGTTGGGAACATGAGTGCATCACTCAGTCTTGGATCTCTCATAGAAGTTAATGATCTACATATGTTGGACCTTCCAGAAAATGGCCTTAATGTCTCAGATGGTGGAGAGGGTGCTAGTGGGGAGAGAGTGACAGGAGAAATTGAGCTTCTTGAGGTTCAGGCAGTGTCTTCTGAACTGCTTGGGATGGAAATCATCACTGTTGCCAGAGGGACAGAGGCCATCGTTCCTGTATAAGTGAGTGTTGATCCTCTTTCATTGCTGTATATATTACTCAAGTTGCTGTTGATATCTGATGCAGATGTTTCAACTGTGGATTGCTGCTCTTGACATTGTAGACATGTGGCTGACATTCTTATCCCATTGAAATTCTAGACTGATTGTTTACATGTATATGGATCACTTTCATCATAATTGAATGCAACAAATTTGGTATCCAATGCACAAACATAGGTAGTGATGTGCACGGCCCAGCTCAGCCTGAAAGTTGTGGCTTAGGCCCAGCTTGAGAGGGCTCAGGCTTGCTCAGAGGTTAGGCTGGGCCTTCTCCGATGGCTCAGGCTTAGCTTGGGCTCAGGCTTAGCTCAGGTCAGGGCTTCCCAGTGCAGAGCAATTGGTTTCTAGATAGTTAGTACAAAAACATCATCGTCGTCATCCCCTTCATAGTCCTCTAATCCCTCAGCATCCTCTAATCCTTTAGCATCCTCTAATCCCTCGGCATCCTCTAATCCCTCAACATCCTCTAATCCCTCTACTATATTATCCCAACTATCTTCCTCACCTGGAGTTGATGAATCTGGAGATACTTCTCCAGTGTTCTGTAGTTTCATAGCTGCACGAGGGTCCTCCTGAAAGAATAAATCTTGCTCAATAAGACATTTGAAACACAGCAGAGCTTCGACAATGTCCGCCTTGAGATGACTGCATCACTTACTGATTGTGATGCCTGCCGATGAGAAAGCATGCTCACTAGAAACAGATGATGTCATAATGAACAGATAATCTCACACGAAGCTCGCTCAGACAGGATACTGCATCATATTAATCTAACACAGTCAGTACTAGATTATAAGCAAAGAAGGAAATCAAGTACTAACTTCCCACCACTGGACAATTGTCCTGTTGCTGAGCTGGTCCTTCAAATTCAAATACCTGTGGGAATCTTGTAGCTAAGACTTGTGGGGGTCCCCTGACACATGTGAAGATGTAGGTGTCTTGTCTGAGATATTCACTTTGTCATCTGAGAGCTCCTGTATGAGCTTGCTGAGCTTCTGTCAGGTGGAGATACCATTGATGCTGATATGCTTCCAGACCTCCTGGCCTCTGAAAACACATTTTTCAGCGATCACTCAGACCTCACTACTCTATGCCTTAGCCTCCAAGATGCATCTGGCCCTTTTGCAACGTTCTGCGAACTTTTCCGACTTTGTATAACCTCATTCGACTTCGCTCGACTCCTCGCGACTTCTCATCGAGATTTGACATTCTTTCATCACTCATACACCACTCTTGCATCTCTCTGCTGTCAGATACCACTTACCTGTTGTCCTTTAGTCTCGTCTGATGTGCCCTGGCTGATTTTCTTCTAAGTCCATACCTTTTCGACATTGCGCCAACTTGCTGGTTCATTGCACTGACTTATTGGTGTTGCTCAACAGTCGTGCCCTCTTGTTTTGCAAATCCCATGCCCTTTATCGTTCAACCTTCCCCTTCAAGACTCCTACCTTCGTGCTGGACCAGAGATGCTGTTTGAGTTTTCCATGTGGTTCAAGACAAGTAGCATATGTTTTCTTTTGATTTCCCTCTGTTTTACCATTCATCTTCATTGCTAACGTACGACATTCACCTCTCCACTCACTTTACCTATTTTTCCATTGGTCCTAGACCATTGCAACTCTTTCCGATGTCAGGATCTATCGTCCAACATTTTGTGACTTCCGCATTTTCTCTCCCTTTGTCCCCTTTTATAAATACCTGCTGTATCTATGTCGATTATCATCGAAGACCAGTAGGAGACTTCTCCCTTCACTTCAGATCACTGAGAAACTGTATTTACTGTGATAGTGACTTCGAACTGCGATATAGTGACTGCAGCTGTGACACTGTGACATAGTAAGACTGCAATACTTTGAGACTGCATACTGTGACTGCGATAGCAAACTGCGACACTGCGATAGTGACATAGCGACATAGCGATATACCACCTGCATTAGTCTTACTCTGACTTTTACATTAGACTGACTGTGACTTCGTCGAGACGGCGAATACTGCATATCCCCATAGTGTTCTACCCCTACAGATAGTTCCCTTCTCCTTTGTGATTTAGTTCATCTTTGCCTACAAGTTTGGCGATCACATTGCGATCTTAGCTTCCACTCTCTGACTTTTGCGACTTTGTCATAGATTGGCGCTTGACTTCGCATTTATGTCGTGAGCCCTCGTTCCTTTACAGGTTACATTCCCCTTTAGCTTAGGTTGAGGTTCTGGGATCCACTTGCATCATTTTGCAGTTGCATTGCCCTTCCCTCTCACACAGAACAAATCACCCTTCTTGTTTGTTTAGTTGGGTTTTAGTATTTGTGTCAGGTGTGCACTCATCACTGCTACCACTGGTGCTAGCCGAGCCACGCACGGTGTCATGCACCAAAAGTGATTGGTACATAGACAGGCACTTTCTGTGCAATTTCAGCCTTACTCGAGCATATAAATGTACTCACCTCAAGATCATATTCCCATGACAACAGATGTATACTCAGTAGTAGTAACAACCTTAGTTACTATGACAATAATGCCTACAGAAATTATGCACAAGTCAGAGCGCTGACAGCATAAATTTACTAGCAGAAGGACAGTCATATTTATAGTATTTAATGCAATTTTGCTTAGTAACTCAGATATTGCTTAGTCACCATACTGCCAGAAGATTCTGTAACATTCCAGAAGATTCTGAGCTTTGGCTTAGTAATATTCAGATTTAGCTTAGTAATATTGAAAGTTAGCTTAGTAATATTGAGAATTAGCTTAGTAATACACAAGATTTGATTAGTAATATGTATAATCATGCTTAGTGATCATGTAGCAGCAGTATATAAGCTGAAGTTTTCATCTCTTACCACCAGTCAATATAAATAGTGAATAAGTCAGTCAGTCACCTAGTCATTCAGACAATTTATTCACTCAGACACCTCAGACATCCCCCAAACTCCACTTCAGCTTACACTGCAGCATAGTCAAGCTTGTAATAGTATTACTAAGACTTAGTTACATAGTAATAGATTCAGGCAAAGCCTAGAATTTGACTGTATACTTTTGTGTGAAGTAAATCTTCTAGTGATAAGAAAACTAGAGCAAGATTTAATATTGAGACAAGGTAAGAGAAATACTATCAGGTTTTACCAACAACTTCTTGAAGAATAGATTCAACTATAATCTGAACAAATAATTGAAGCTAGTATGAGAAAACTAGCACAAGCAAGTACACTGCAAGGTAGAATATTAGTTGCAGTATAGTTATTCTTGAACGAACTCAACTGAGCCTCTGGCTGAGGAATGACAACTACCGCTACACCCAGTATAATTTGGAGCACCAGTCCATCAGCACACTCCTCTCTACAACTAGTTTTATTTAGTTTTTTAGTATTTAATAGCTAACAAGTAATTGTTCCTGCCCCAAGTAACGTACAACAGCGGAACTATCTCCATACATTTGTATGTAGCATTCCTTGTACTTTGCAGTAATTAGTGTCAATGTGTATGTAGTGAAGTAAAATGTACATGCACCATGACCTCCGCATGCTCGAGTGCCTCCTTCAACAAGTCCTCATTCCAGTACTTGCGAATATAGTTTATCTTCTCAGATGGATCAAGAACTGTTGAGCGTGCATGCCTTAGTGTGAGTATCAATATTGAATGATGGTGATATGGTGATGCACGCATGGCAATGGTATATGTTTCTGAGTCTGCGAACCTCTCATAGTACTCCACAATCTTGGCGATATCTGCCTCTAGTGCCTCCATGAAGTCCACGTACTTTGTGCACTCTGCACGAGAAGACCATGCCTTGTGCAGGGCTTTGAGTGTTGGAAGGGCCAGATGGAGGGTCAGTCCTTGATCGGTGGAGAATGCCTGCTGTGCATTATCAGCATGCTGCAGGATGTCAGTTTAAGTAAGTGAATCATACATGCCATGCTGAAACTGACTTACTGCGAGCAGATCGAGGAATGACTTCACATGACCCCATTCTTGATCGGAAAGCTCAAGCTCATCAAGTTTTTTCCTTTTGCTTTGATCCTTCTCTTTGCACCCAAGCTTGAATATGAAGGTGTTGATGCATTGCAACAATCTATTTCGTCAGTTTAAAGGGTGACAGTCTTCTTGTGAACTCACCTCACAGTGTCTCAGCATGATCAAGTATGACGCACATTGAGGACCATCGCACCAGCATGTCTAGCAGGAGCTGTAAGGGGTTCTTGGTGTCCTCTTTCACTTGGATGTCTTTAAACAGTCGCTTGCACTTTGCCAATGAATGTTTCTTTTGTATAGATAATAAGTATTAGTCAGAATATGTACAGAGTTGTGCGATACATACCTTCACACAGATCAATCGGATAAGCCCAATCTCATCATGCTGAGTCACCTGCGGTGCTGTGAGGTCTTCATTGAGCTTCTCTGGGTCAAAGTGTTTTGATTTGCTGTAGGTTGAGATAACGGCTTGCATCGCGAGGTTGATAATATGTGCAAGACAGCTGCATGACAGTGTGAGCCTAGCATACAATGTGAGATTTTTCATGACATACCGGATGCGACACCTTTTGGCATCATAAATCTTACCCATTTCATGCCTGATGTGCTTCACAAACTCTGACATCATTGTGTCATTATTGGTTGCATTGTCACAGGTAATATATCTGATTTGGGAGTAAAGCTGTTGAGGTTTTACAGGAAAAAAATGATATGCAGACTCATCTTATGTGTGATCTGCAATTGGGCAACAATCTTGAATAGAGCTTGGCTGAGGCACTTTTTGTTGTGAGCATTGCTGAGCTGCATGAAGCTGAGAAGTGCAGTTTGCACACTCCACAAGCCAGGTCCGGTCTCCTCTACCCATAAGTCTGTGATAGCAAAGTAGTCATCTGTGTTCGAAGCCTGCCATGTGTTGCACATCAAATTGACAAGCCCTTGCACGGCGTCACTCTATGTCAACAATGATGTCAATACAGAGCACGAGAAATCAACATGTACTCACATTTAGTTTCTGTTGTAACTCCATAAGGCGACACTTGAACATGTCCATGATCTCTTCACGAGTGCATTTGCAGTTTGGTATCGTCACTCCATCCAGTGCACGAGCTGCAATGTTGATCATGTTCATGAAGGCTGAGTGCTCAAGTGCCTGAATTGGCTAATATTATTATGGTCAGACAAGCTGAAGAATGATTCTAGTTAACCACATACTTAATCAGTGGCAATGAGCCATTCCACAGCTGCCTGTTAGAAGAGCACATCAGTATAGGGCACCACATGTGTTACGCGGCAGCGAAACACGAGCGTCTAGTCGAGTCGTCACGAGACAAGGTCTTAGTCTAAGACACAAGTCCGTTCAAGTGACACTTCTGGCGATGTCCTCGCACTGAAGGTCGATCAGAGTTCGTTCTTACGACGCGTAGTAGCTGTCTGCTACTGACGGTCGATCTCAGTCAAAGGCAAGTGAAAAGCTGGTTTAATGGTAACCAGGTCGAGATGGGGATCCAGCTCGACAAGGTCGTCTACTTATACAAAAGGTATCCGCAGTACTACGCAGTAATGCAGGATCGTTCATTGGCTAGATAAGGTGAAATAATGTCTAAGCAGGGTAACAGCGAGGAAGTAATATGTATGGGAAAGCTGAGTAAGGTCGTAAGAGATAATCAGTACTAATGGGGATAACGAGTCATGTATCAGAACGAGGTAAAGATGAGGCATACATGCACGTCTTGCATGTGCGATAAGAAGAGGGTTCGGAGTTGGATCCGGTGTAACCCTAGACTAGGGGTTCTGGACATCTGAATAAAGAATCGGAGGTTGCGCTCCGATGAGTCACGTGTTGGATCACGTGGTCTGGTAACGTAAAGGGAACAAAGAAAAGAAAAAGAAAAGACGCGCCACAAGTGAGGAGCGTTGTAACATCAGCTCCCATCTAACGTTTCTTGTCCCACAAGAAATATTGTGATCTTCATCGTCGTCGGGGGCAGTCGCGGACATAATGATCTCCTCCACATCTGTAGCATGTCCGCCGGCTGGTTCGTGATCCTTGTTCGGGGATACGTCCATTCCTGTAGGGATGACTGCGACGCGAAGAAGTGGATGCAGTCGAGAAAGATGGTTGGGATAACGGAGATCGTCCACTGGGTACGTGCGAACGAGGAGGGCGAGGTCGAACGGGAATTGGTTCTGGCGACGAGCGAGGAGTGGATGCGGGTATTCCATTAGTGGTGTATCCGAGGATGTGTCCGATGTCTTCGTCCCCATGCTCCCTCCAAATCTCCTGTGCTGTACGAGTGACCGTACTGCGCATTAATGACCAGACTTGGTCGACTCTGGTTCGGGCTCTACTCGTCCTTTCCTCTGCTGCGATGAGCTCTTGTCTGGCCGTCTGCATCCACTCGACCATTTCTAATGCTCGTTGCATGGAAACCACCGCTTGTCGATCTTGCGGGCGATTTCGTAAGGCGACGAGGATATCTGTGAAGTCGACAGGAACACGGATAGCCGAGACCAGACGTGTGGCAAATTCTTGTTCGTCCGATGCGTGACTGAGTTCGATAGAAGGTGAGGGCGATGAGGCGCGGATAAAGGGTGTCTGTGCTCGAGAGGGTACTCCATTGACAAGCGTAGGCGATGCGGGTATGCTCATAATTGTGGAGGCGACTTCAGCGAGTATATTGTGAACAAGGTCGTCTATAGCGGAAGTGGGCATTGATGATATATCGTCTTCTCCCCTTTTTATACCTTTCGGTCGTTAAGGGGATCGCGGTTATCTGTGATGTGAAATAGAACGTCGTGGATCCGGGTAATAATCAAATAGATGAAAATCCATTGGACGATAAAGAGTATTCCCACAGAGATAAGAGCTGCCTGATCAGTTCCAGGCATCGTTCTGATCACCCCAGCCGTTAGCGTGCGGGCTGTCTCGCGTGAAGAGTGTGTGTTCGACAAGTCGTCTGATAAGGATTCGGTGGATGATCCAAAGAAAGGCGAGGGTTGTGCAGTGAAGGACGATTAGGAAGATGATGAGGAAAACCGTTGTGGTAGTCATTCCGGGTTTCTTCTCCTCTACTGGATTCCCCTGGTCCTTTTATATGCATCGAGGATTCGCTTGGCATTCTGTAAATTGTGGGTAGGTTCCCACGAGTTTTCTGCTGAAGAATATCCCTTCCACTTGACTAAGTACCTCAGATGACCTCGGTATGTCTTGTGATTCAGGATGGCTTCGACTTCGTACTCTTCTTCGTTATCAACGACATCAGGTGGTGGGTTCATGTAATTCGGACCATGTATGTCGTTTTCGCGATAAGGAGATAGAAGGGCGGCATGGAATACGGAATGAACTCGCCAGGTCTTCGGGAGTTTGAGACGATAGTTGGCCGGTCCGATGACTTCGGCAATTTCGAATGGCCCTTCACGCTTTGGTGCTATCTTGCGCGAGGCGTAATTGACCTTCAGGTTCCTCGAGTCTAGCCAGACCTTCTGTCCTAGTGTAAACTTCGGCGATCCTTGTCTGACTCGGTCCGCCATCTGTTGTCGGGCTAACTCGTGCATGGCTAGTGCTTCTAGCCTTATCTTCTGCAACATGTCAAGCCTGGATTCAACCGATGGAATGTTCGTGGTCGGAAATACGGAAGGGAGTCCACGTGGTTCGTATCCCATCATGATGCGGAATGGGCTCATCTTCCGTGCCGAGTGTTCCCTTGTGTTATGACAAAACTCGAGGTCTGGCAGGCGGTCGGCCCATGTTTCAGGGTTGTTTCCGCAATAGAGTCGAAGATAGATTTCCAGCTCCTGGTTGACTCGCTCTGTTTCTCCGTCCGTCTGAGGGTGATAAGCTGTGCTCATTGATGATCTGATCTGGAGTAGTCGATTTAACTCTTGGAAGACCTTGGATGCGTATTGAGGTCCTCTATCCGAGATGATTCGGTCGGGTAATCCAAATCGCGAGTATACTTTGTCATGAAAAATCTTGGCCGTTCCTTCAGCTGTGATCGTTTTGAGGCAGGGCGTAAGAATCACCCCCTTCGTAAGGTCATGGTCTACTACGACCATAATTGAATCAAAACCGTTGGAAACGGGGAGGTCGGTAATAAAATCAGTGGTGCAACAGGAAAATGGTAATGCGTGTGGGTCGGTGGGAATTGGTTCCAAAGGAATACGAGTTGGATGAGTATTCGGTTTCATTTGTTGACAGGCGGCACAGCCTTCAACATAATTGTAGACAAATGTATACATGCCGGGCCACCAGAATTCACGACGTAACAGTTCAAGAGTATTGAACTTTCCAGGGTGACCCATGGCAGGGGAGTCGTGATGTAGTCGAACGAGGTCACGACGAAGAGTTTCGGATGGTGGAACGTAAATCTTTCCCTTGTAGAGGATGACACCATCGCGAACTTCCCAGTCGGAAAGCGATGATTTCATGGGGAATGGCCCTTTGTGTGCAATCGCTTCGAGGGCTTCGTGAACAATGAGGTCTTTTGCTGCGTGATTCCTGATTTCGTCGAATAGTGTCGGGGAAATGGATCGCACGAATAGTGCGTTGGGTAAAAGAATGCGATCTTCGTTGTCACTTTCACTGTCATCGAGTCCATTACGACGAGAGAGCGCATCAGATTGGATCATCTGAGTTCCAGGGACATGGATGAGGTGAAGATCAAATTGTGATAATTTGAGACTCCATCGTGCTTGTCGGCGGTTTAACTTCTGAGCTGTACGGAAGTACGTGAGGTTCTTGTGATCACTGCGAACTTCGACGGGATGGGGAGAGCCTTCAAGATAATGGCGCCATTCAGTGAGGGCTCGAATGATTCCGAGGAGTTCGCGGTCGTAGATTTCGTAGTTCCGTTCAGCTGGATTGAGTGTCTGTGAAATGTAGGCACAAGGATGGAGGTCTCCATTGATATCGGCTTGGCGTAAAACTGCACCCGTAGCAAACTTGGAAGCGTCGGATTCAACAATAAAGGGTTTTGCCTTGTCAGGCAGTAACAGTACTGGGGCGGTACTGAATCGTTGCTTCAATGTGTCGAAAGCTGTCTGACATTCTGTTGTCCATTCAAAAGGTGGAGATCCAGCGACAGTGCGCGTAAGATTCGTCAATGGTTTGGCAATATCCGAGAAGTTGGCAATAAACTTCCGATAGAAGTTTCCAAACCCTAGGAAAGAGCGAACACCTTTTACCGTGGTTGGTTCAGGCCATTCTGCAATTCCTTTAAGTTTGATAGGATCCATGCCAATGTAGTTTTCTCGAATGATCATGCCTAGGAATTCGACTTCTTTAACGTCAAAGAAACACTTTTCCGGTTTAAGGAATAAGTCGCTGTCTTTAAGTCGTTGGAGTACGTGTCGGGTTCGAACGTGATGTTCTTCCAAATCGTTTGAGAAGATGAGGATATCATCCATGTAAATGACTATCCATCCCTCATCGATCATGTCCTTGAAGAGTGCGTTCATCATCATTTGGAAAGTCGCCGGGGAGTTGCAGAGTCCAAAGAACATGACCATAGGTTCGAAAAGTCCGCGATTCGTCTTAAATGCACCCTTCCATTGGTCACCATCTTTGATTCTGACATTGTTATATCCGGAGCGTAAGTCCATTTTCGTAAAGATCGATGCGCCTTTGAATTGATCCATAAGGTCAGAAATGAGCGGAAGAGGATAGGCGTTCTTCACCGTCCCTTCATTCAGGTATCGGTAATCCTGACAGGGACGTAGTGCTCCGTCTTTCTTTCCTACGAAGAAAAATGGTGAAGCCATGGGAGATTTCGATGGTCGGATGTATCCTTTTCGCAGATTTTCTTCCAGGAAGTCATCCATCGCTCCTTGTTCTTTGAGCGATAACGGATAGACTTTACAGTCGTGTGGAATAAAATCGGGTTTCAAGTCAATGGCGTGGTCCCAAGGTCTGGTTTCTGGAAAGCGTTCAGCTGCTTTCTTTTCAAAGACGGACTTCAAATCGTGGAGGTAGTTGGGGACCAACTCCTCGACGGTTTTGGGTTTGTCTACAGCTGATGCTTCCTTGTGTGCCTGTTGTGCCAATTCTTGTGATTTTCCGGATGGTTTGTAAAAGACCGTATTCTGTGCGTTACAGAATAATGGGGATCGAGTACTGTGTGTCATTCTTCCAATGGCGGGGCCTCTTCGTATGGTGAAGACTGTGGTTTCAGTCTCTTCATTCGTCAAAGGTGACTCCTTCCTGATGGGTTCAAATATCCCAATAACTGGCTCTCCTGCGATATAGGATATAACTAGATCGTCGTCATCGAGCTGATCCATAGGGGTTTCTGATGGTGGGTCATCTGGTTCAGTATCATTCCGCACTGCGGGTAACTCGCCACGCTCAGTGTTATCGGCTGTGATTTCTCTAATAGACTCCGAATGTCTAAATGAGGTAGGGGAAGTTTCGGTGGTGATTAACTCTGGGAGTCCATCTTCCTTGAAAATCGAAACTTCTTCATCTGGTGCATCTTCGACGGTGGGTTTCGGTGGCCATTTGGCGTCTTTACCAAACCAAAAGTCACCGGTTTCCCAGTTGATCATTGGATTGAGGCGTTTAAGCCACGGCATGCCGAGAAGTATGTTTTCTTTGCCAATGCCGGTCAAGAGGAAGCGAGTAAGTGTCTTCCTTCCTCCGATTTTCATCATCTTCCAGGTACAATGAGTAATGGTGCCCATTTGATTTGGTGTGCCATCTGCATTCATGACTGTAATCGGTTTTGGTAATTCCCATCTGATGAAATCGTTTTCTTCCGCAAAATGAATGTTCATGAACGTTTCGGCTGCACCGGAGTCGATCAAGGCTTCTGTTGTAACGTCTTCCTTTTCTCCCAACGAAATATTCACAGTGATTGAATTTCCGCTAGTGTTACAAATAACGAGGGGAGATACGGTAAGATGCGACGGTCCATGCATTACTAGTGGCCGTCGTCTCAAAAACCCAATTGGGTTCGTTCTTCGTCAGTCATGTCGTTGAAGACGTTTCGCACATAGGCGATCTGTTCCTCTCTGGTTTCTTCCTTCGACGTCTCCTTCTTCTGTGCGAGGTCTTCTCGCATCTTCTTGATCCATGTGATCGTGTCTGTGTCTAACCCGGGCTGTATCGTTCTAGCACGGGTGAAACTTCCAGACTGGGGGTGAAATTGTCTGTCGTTGGCTATATGGCCCTTCTTTCCGCATAGGAAACATAGTCCTTCTTTCATTCTCTTCTGTCGCTCGTCTGGGGATAAGCGCGAGATACTGACACGATCAACATCCATCGCGTTTGGATCCTTTGCAGAAGCCGAGTAGTAGGGACGATGGACAGATCGGCCCTTTCCTCGCGTCGTCGTAGTGGTTCCTCGCTTGAAGATCTGAGCAGATCTCCATTGGTTATCAAACCGCGAGGTGTATTCGTACCACTTGTCAAGTGTCTTGGGCATGCTTTCCATCCCATATATCCTTTGTCTGAGTGGGTCGTTAAGTCCCCACTTGAAATACTCGATATTTCCGGCATCTTCTAGTTTCGCCTTGGATTCAAGCGATCGGAATTCGGCAATGTAGTCGTCCGCAGTACGAGTTCCTTGCTTGATGTTACGCAGCAAGGTACGAGCGGTTTCTTCAATATTTTCATCGCCAAATGCTTTGTTCACACTTGCAATGAAGTCTCTCCAACTCCCATAAGAAAGGAAGTCATCATTGGTGAGTTCCGTTTCTATGAAGCTCTGTGCCCATGATCCTGCTGTTCCTCCTTGCATGTGCGATAGCACGAATGCGATCTTCTGATTGTCCTCCTGGTAGACATGGCTATTTCCGGCCATGTAATTCTTGCATTGGTTTATAAATTCCCTAAGCTTCGAATGGTCTGAACCGTTGAAGATCTCGGGTTTTCTAAAACCAAGTTCCTTCTGGCTAACATGGTGACGTCCTTCATCCATGGTAACTGTAGCCATCGGTGGTATGTAATCGGATATAATTGGTGCAAGAATCGGTTGGGGTACGGGATCCTGGACAGGGGGGTTCCAAGGGGCGTCTGGTCTTTCTCCTGGATAAGAGATAGGTATGCCGCTGTCTGCGATGTGTGATAGTACGAGCCCTCCAACGTTATGGGGTAGGCCTGCTTCGTAGTCACCACTTGGGTGATCAATGTGTTGATCTGGTCTGATGAGTAAAGGTCGTCCGTTTAAAACGTGTACGTTCCTCTGTGCGTCCCACTCTGCCTGAGATGGGAGGAGATCGATGTATTGCTTGGGAAGAGCAGTCGGGTTGATAAAGTTCAAATCCAGCGTGGATAAATTCCCCTGTGTGGCCTACGTCTACACATAGACTGCACACCGTCCTTAACTAAGTGGGTTCGTTCGTCGTCGGCTAACAAGCCTGTAGAGTGTCTTCTGTCTTCAAACTGGTACACCTATTTGCTGATTGCTCGAGTGATTACCTCAGCCTCCTCGGCCTATTGGTCTCTCGGACAGACCCCTCTCCGAAGATGAGTGATCAGTCTATCCCTTCAGCTACCTCGATTACAGAGTAATCTCAAACGGTGCTTTAGCAATCGAATCGGGTGTATCGTTCAGTCTTCAAGGTTCGGTCCGGTCGGTAGTTTGTTGTTAGACTCTAGGAAGTCACAGAGAGTAATATGATCTCGACCTAATGTTACGCGGCAGCAAAACACGAGCGTCTAGTCGAGTCGTCACGAGACAAGGTCTTAGTCTAAGACACAAGTCCGTTCAAGTGACACTTCTGGCGATGTCCTCGCACTGAAGGTCGATCAGAGTTCGTTCTTATGACACGTAGTAGCTGTCTGCTACTGACGGTCGATCTCAGTCAAAGGCAAGTGAAAAGCTGGTTTAATGGTAACCAGGTCGAGATGGGGATCCAGCTCGACAAGGTCGTCTACTTATACAAAAGGTATCCGCAGTACTACGCAGTAATGCAGGATCGTTCATTGGCTAGATAAGGTGAAACGATGTCTAAGCAGGGTAACAGCGAGGAAGTAATATGTATGGGAAAGCTGAGTAAGGTCGTAAGAGATAATCAGTACTAATGAGGATAACGAGTCATGTATCAGAATGAGGTAAAGATGAGGCATACATGCACGTCTTGCATGTGCGATAAGAAGAGGGTTCGGAGTTGGATCCGGTGTAACCCTAGACTAGGGGTTCTGGACATCTGAATAAAGAATCGGAGGTTGCGCTCCGATGAGTCACGTGTTGGATCACGTGGTCTGGTAACGTAAAGGGAACAAAGAAAAGAAAAAGAAAAGATGCGCCACAAGTGAGGAGCGTTGTAACAACATGCTCCTTTGTCAGCTTCTCCTTTAGATGTGGGTCGAGTCAGCCCTGAGTGTCAGCAGTTGCTTGTTCATGTCGCTACTTAGCATCCTTCGGAAGCATAGACTGGAAGTCCTCTTTAGTTGCCCACTCCCAGTATGCACTCTACAACTGCTGGATGGATAGAGCTCAAGAATGCACTGCATATTACTCACCACATGCATAGCCTGCAAGTAACAGTGAAGCATTGACATCTCATTTGTAATTTGTCTGAGGGCCCCAGGGTGTTGAGCCTCTTTGCTGTTTTTTTGCTATTATAGAACTCAGTAGTTGTGCAAAATGCATTAAAAGAGCCATACCAGCATTTATGGCAGTTTCAGTACTTTTTCTCATCCACCACTGTGTAGTACTTTGAAAAACAGTGATCAATATCACGACTTCAATTTTCGTGGCTCATTGATGACTATCACATTAATGTCCTTGAGAAATCCATTGGAGTCAATTTTGTCGGCCTCACGAACATCCCTACACCCTGGAATCACCAAAATTATTCTTGATGCCTCACTACATTCATAGGCACTTACGATTCATTGGACTTGCAGTACATTCCTGTTCACTATCTTTACCTCCCTTTGATTTTCAGTGCTTTTTATCTATATGAGTGAGAGTGAGTTTGCTTCGCACAAAATTTTCGCTGCACAGACAGACCATGCTTCTTCCTTATGTAATCTACAATTTCAAAGCCCAGGTTGTCTGACAGAAGCTCAAGATCTAGGTCTGCAGTGCTCACACCATGCTTCTCTAACAAGCTTGAACAAGGTGGGCCAGCCTCGGAATGTCATTGTTGGTTAGTCAGAGAGAGATCAAGTGCGAGAAAGTCCGCAGTTGCTGTGTTTGATGCTTGATCATTGCCAGAGGCCTCGGCAGCTGTCGCAACAAGCTTTGCAGCTGCAGCCGCCTATTTATGAGTGAACAGCTCATGCTCCACAGTGTTCGCAGTATCAGTAATTTTTTGCAGATGGAGCAGGGGCCCACTTGAGACAAGTTTCAGTGGCAGCTGTGGTGCCATCAGCAGCTGCAGGATCTTTCCATGGGGACATTAGCATCAAGGTTGACAGATCCAAGATACTGGACAACAGTATCCATTCGTGGGTGGTGCAAAACTATATAGATCAGAACTACCTGCCAATAGTCCAATTATAGTAATTTTACTCCTTAAAGCCCCAGCTTGCGGGCTCAGCTCAGGCTTGCAGGAAGTCTGAGCCAGGCCTTGAGCACTTACAAGCTGTCTTCAAGGCCCGACTCAGCTCAGCCCTAACTCGGCTCAGCCTGGCCAGGCTTATGGCTTGGAGCTGGGCTTTGCACATCACTAAACATAGGTGTATAAGTAGACCTGTCAATGGACTCATGTCTGTCCTGCAGTGCCAGGTGTCAAAAGCTCTTTTGAAATATGGCCGTGAGATATGCACTGCCACATGTCGTATATTGATCAGAGCCTACAAGTTGAACAAAATGAGAGTGATACAAAAGCAGATTTTCCTACATGTTTGACATTAATCTTCTGTGATAGCTTTTGTTGTAACATCAAAAAAACCCAACTTTCTCTTATGGACTTATTTAGACTTTTGGGTCTGACAACTCTTATTTAAGGTCATAAGTGTTCAAATAAGTCAAATTTCAGACACTCAGAGAATATGCCTTAGGCCTTTTTGTCCTTATGTTCTTAAATAAGGACCATAAGTCCATTTAAGTTATTTAAGTGCCCTTTTAAGAAAAAGTGAGGTTTTCCTGATGAAGCTCCAGCACATGTGGCAAGCGTGATGGATGTGTTTATTCCTCGCCTATGCAAGTGTGCGGTATATCTGATACATTAAACTGCTATGTTTCTCAAGGCTGAGAAGAGATGAACTTTGTTGACTTAGCTCTTACTCTTCAGTACACATTCCAAATATTGCGTGCATCAGGCCCATCCTCACTTTTGTAGGTAGCTGTGATTGAAGCTATGCTCTGTACTTGTCTGAGTGGTCTCAGGATCAAAATTGCATGCATGGAATCACTTAACTGGCATGAAGGCTCAAGGCCTGCATAGCTGACCAGTGCAGTGGTCTTGCTCTTGAAGATTGACAGATATTCTGGAGGTCTGCATGATATGACCATGGAGCAGATGCTGATCAAAGGGTGTACTTACTGCTTTTTTGTGCACATTTCTCCTAGTACTGCGTTGGAGCAGAGCATTGAGTATTTAAATCTCCGAAGATGCTGCACATTTGTACCAAAATTGACGTCTGAGTTTGCATGCGATCCAGATCCTGAAAGCAAGAAGCACATATTGGCAGTACTAGGTTGTCAATTGTGACACTTTCCTCGTACCTCATGTTATCGATATGCGGATCCTGATAGTAAAAGACATGAGGATGGAAGGAGGACATTGATGTACAACCTGCACAATGCTTGCTGATACAACCGGGTGGGCAACAGAAAGCCTCCTGAATATTTGGCCGACATGTAGTATTGCAACAAGCCTTTCGTGGTTTTCTGATGGAATCAAGCAATTTGTTTCTCTTGTGGACTCATTTCTATGTTTCGTCACTTTCCCGTAGAGTGAATGGTCAATATTTACATATGTTCAGATGGTTACGATCTGGATTTCACTAACTTTATCTCTTCAGAGACTTTTCTGTGTTTACTTGATCTCTTGACCAGTATTAGACATAGACTAAGGTTTATCAGACACTCACGCATCTAGGTTGTATCGGCCATGCATGCTGGTCACAGCAGTACCTCCATGTGACATTCAATATTGCAGACTCAGAGACTCACATGACCATGTCTGCAAAAAGTTTAAGACTGAGATTACAGCCTGCTTTAGTCCGGATTCTTCTCTCAGCTGTGCTACCTCTCCATCAGCAAAAATGAGAAAATATTATATAAGGTTACACTGATTACATCGGGGTAGTAGGTGTTGTGTAAGTTACAATGGACTAGTAACATTTACACTAATTAGTAGCCAAAATAAAGGTAGTAGAGGTCTATAAAAAGGATTACATAGTACAGAAATTGATACACAAGTTACAATTAAAATACACATTGTGGGAGAGTTGTCGCACAATGTAACCCAAGAAAATAAGTTGTGAAGTCAGAAGAATTTCTAGACACCTACATAAACCTACATCGGATGTTGTAAGGGGCACCTGTTGGGTGTCTACTTGCGCTTTGTGAACACACTCCGAGTTTGCTCTTCTGTCATTTCAGGTCCTCGAATACCGCACCAAATGCATGCATTAATGCAAAGCTTTCGTTCAGGCCCTCACAGTGAAAAGATCTGAAGCTGTTTTGAGGCAATGTTTGAGGCAAGTCTGAGGCTAATCTCGACACACCATGACTACTGTCCGCCAACAATTCTTGCCACTCTCACTCGCATATAAATTTGCACTCTCTCCCAGTTCAATGCTCCTCCCAGGTGAGTGCCTTTACATGCAGCTAACTTGTACAGATCGTCATTTCAAAGGGCTTGGTTGGCCACTCATTGCCACTCTGGCGGCGCCATACAGTGCATTCTATATCAAGCTCTATTGTTATATGTCCACAGCTGAAGCATGTTGATTTTTAGTGTTGTTCATTATCACACTTTGATGGGCACACGGGTTTTGGTGTGGTGAGTTGGCCTAACTAGGTCTAATGTAGAGCACTCTGTATGCCTTGTACTGTAGCAGTAACAATAATATATTGTGACATAATTTAAAATACTCCCACTATTGAGAATTATGAGACCGATCTGTCAGTTTCAGTCTGTTTAGGATGGTCTGTGCCTACATGGTACACTAAATTTTGTAGGAAGTTATATGAGCTTCATAACCTGGAAAATTTTTTGAGAGTTTATAACTAGTTATACTAGTTGGCAACTCTGCAATTTGGCTCAGGTTTATGATGCAATGTATTCCTTGGTGAAACAATTCCGTAAGTTACATGGAATTACACCTTTATAATCTCTTTAGAGAAAATTCCCATTTTTGCTGATGTCTGCAACTACAATGACATCCTCTCTGTCATTGTCAGAGTCTCTGCTATAAGCTTGGCACATCACTCCCATCTGATCCCCTTCTCGACTGCTGTGCCATTGAATGTATTGTGTGTACAATTTTGATCCATTTGTGTTTCCAGGAAGAGGTTCACTCATCACGATGTGGAGCGTCGAGTATCTAGAAATGATCGCACTCCTTCATTCAAAGATTCAAGCTTTCACTATTTCAAGTTCCATGCTCTGTTTGAAGATTTAATCGTAGAAGGCACCATAAATTTTCCATGAACACCTCTTTCTTGGTCTTATTCTGCCTAGCTCGACTCGATCTTCTGTTCAGAGTCACGTTCTTTGTCTGGGTCTAAGAGAGTGGTGTCACACTCTATCACCTGTCAAGTCTGCTTGCTATGTTCCCTACTACTCTCCTTCCTGTCACCTGTTACACAGGTTGCTACCTACCTTTTCTTTTGTGTTACTCCATCAGAAAACCCAACTTTCTCTTATGGACTTATTTAGACTTTTGGACAACTCTTATTTAAGGCCATAAGTGTTCAAATAAGTCAAATTTCAGACACTCAGAGAATATGCCTTAGGCCCTTTTTGTCCTTATGTCCTTAAATAAGGACCATAAGTCCATTTAAGTTATTTAAGTGTCCTTTTAAGGAAAAGTGGGGTTTTCCTGATATCTGAGTATTGTAAGTCAACATTCTCGGTGACATGCTTTTGTGGCCCATGGAAGTCAGTCATCTGCATCTTGGCATGTGGGAACGGATCCCGACTATTATTTCGCTCACGAAGATGTTTGAGACTCGGGCGCAGATGCTTGCTATTCGCGTGTGCACGTATACTTCGGGCGTGTACAAATATGTGTGTTCGCCGATTGGCCGACTGCTACAGAATTCTTACATGATCGCGCAAACTGCATACAGGCAAACAAATTTACAACGATGTCTCCAACAACGAGACCTCTAGTAATTATACTCCCCCCATCAACCCACAGGCACCACTACATACTACTACTCGTCGCCTTACCGAAAGTCGTACGCATTGGAACACAGCGAACCCATCGACATCTCGATCATTGATCTCGATCTCAATTGACCAGCCTCGATTGTTAACGTGCGCCCACACATAGGGGCCGACCAGTCGGTGCGCCTTCCTTTCTGCTCTGAATAACGAATGCGCTGGCCTTCGGAGAAGATGCTGCAGAGAAGATTGAGCTCAAATCAATGTGGACATGGGTGGGGAATACCCATCTCTAACGAACCTTCCGAGCGGTCCCGCCAAGGAAGGAAAGTAGTGGTGTTGTCTAGTTTTCTCCTTCGTCTCCACTTAGGCTAGAAGACGCTGCAAGCATCAGACGGTTGTTCACTGTTGAGGGAAGATAGAAGAGAAGATCGCAAGAGGAATTAATACTGCTGGATGCACCAGACATCCAGCGAATAACGAAGACACGCACAATACCCAGTGATTGCAAGATCACAATATGCGCTGGCGCCCGCGTCCGCACCCCGCGAGGTCCACCACGTCCGTGTTGCGGTCGACGGCAGGCGTGAACGGGAACGACGACGCAAGCGCGAATGCGCCCTCGAACGTTGGGTGCAGGACTGCGCGTGCGGGCGAGTTCGACGTGAGCGCGACAGGCGCAGCACTGAGTCGACTGCGGCGTGCGGGCGTCGACGGAGAAGTTCCCGCCCGTGCCGGAGGACGCCGCGGAGAGGAGGTCCATGTTCGCTTTTATTGGGCTGCACGGGAGGGGCATTAATGATGGTATGAAACGTAGGGATTGGGAAGAGATGGGTGAAGAGAACATACCCATTGCTGGTGTGTATCTCGACCACGGTGTGATTTCCTTCAGGGTCGTTCAACATCCCGACCTGGACGGAGATGGGCGCATTGGAGGTGTGTAGCGTGAGGTAGGACGAGGGGTTGAATGAGCCTTTGATCGCGCTGAGGGTCGTCGTGACGTCGATGTGTTCTCCGAACAGAGACTGCAGCGGTATTGCCCAGCATTCAGAATCCAGCAGGAGAGGCAAGAGGTAGGGGAACTCACCGAAACGTCGTAACCTATGAACGCGCTGCGGAGGGAGACTCTGCCGAAGTACACGCTGTCCTTCAGGTCCCCAACATGGTGTGCAAACCAGGGCAAATGTGTTTCGAATTTGTTGATGAAGAGAGGGGACGGGTGCGGCGGGCAACTTAACCTTGATCTCGAATCAAACTTGATGGTGCCGCCTGCGAGTAAAAGTGGGTGCCTGCAACAAGTACAATTAATCCTCTCCAAGTCAACACAATCGACACCAGGATATACTTACGAATATACCGACGCCGTTCACCCCCTCCGCAGGCGGTTAGGGCGCAGACCCTTGTCAAGGCGAACTCATGCTCGTGGTCGAAGAAAGCTGTGATCTCAACGTCCGCGACATCGGAGCCGGCGCTCCCTTCGTCAGTGATCTGAACAGAGCCGCTCGCAAAGGACAGACTCCCGTGGGAGACGAGGTACAGCACGTCCGATGAGACCGGCAGCTCGAACGAGGTCGTCGCGATATGCAGGGTGTCCCAGATGGTCGGGATGGCCGTGGAAGCCCTCATAGATGGACCAGTTTGCGTCGCGCACACAATGCTAGGGGACGTCTGTTGGAGGCATGTCGGGGCCCAGGCTGTGTCTCCTATCGTGGAACTAGCACGACGGTCAGGACGGCTGAGAAAACGAGGCTTAGGGCCACTCACCATGCGAGCGACATGTGGCACTAGCTTCGCGAGGTGGCTGAACAGGATTATTGCGAAAGAAATGGAAAGAAAGGCTCGCAGCAAGCGTTTGAAACCTGATCGCTTTGGCAAAGGCCGCAGACCAGACGGAGAGTTAACGCAGTATACAGCTGTGGTGCAAGGAGCAGGCAAGAGCGGGGCCGACGCGCCCTTCTTGACCGGGAATGCAGTCTGCGTAGCGTCTCGCATGTCAGTGTTAGGATCCATTGTGCTGTCAGTCTCAGACGATGCCAGGCCGATCGCAGGACACGGCATATTATACTCATTCGCTATGCTGCTGCGCACTGCGGGTTGTGAGCCTGGTGCGAGTCTCATGTCTACACGCACATGCGATCATAATCGTGTTAATACCGCGCCAAGTGACTGCGCATTTGTCCAAGGACAGACGTACCACTGGTGAACACGGAGACTGCGGGTTTCTGATTGAGCACCCAGTGGGAAAAGCTGCGCAGACGACGCTGACAGAACCTGGATAAAATTCAGTTGGTATGACTGTCTACGCACAACTCATGCCGTTCGAGACCGCCGGTGCCGAAGGTTACTACGGTGAAGCACCCTGATTTGAAAGCAGACTACACCTGGAAACTGCAACAAGTCTACACGGGCTACATAGGACTATATAGTAGGGACTTGTCTAGCCGAGTGCTAGCCGAGCCTACATAGTCCTACATAGGCGGCTGTAGACCCCCGAGAAAAACACCAGTTGCAGATGCTACCCCGGCCCCTGTCCCAAGGTCATTGTATTACTGCCATTGCAAATGTCGAGACTCTGTGCCGGCGCGATGCGGAAAAAAGTCACCCTCTGTGATCACAATCATATCGAGGGTGAAAATACTCGCTGAGGACACTGCACTCCTATGTGTTAAATAAGTAGACGAGACTCACACTAACTCACAGGCGCCGCCTGTGGAAAGCGATCTTACACGTGCGCCAACTCGGCTAAATTCCATACTCAGCGATGTATGTTGCCCACATTTGACGTAAAGCGCCCCTACACCATTCTCCACCTCTAATTCGACCTGCAAGATCGCACTGTTCACTCATCATGCAGACCGAAAAAATGCGGGTGTTTGTCGAAGCACCGCCCATAACCCCAGGAGGGGTACGGAGAAGACTTGTGGTGCCTATATTGCGAACGAAGACCGTGGCGGATTTTGCAGAAGTGGTAGCGCGCCGAATTGCGCTGAACAACGATTCAGCTTCGGATCTCACCCTTACTTTGGCTGACGGTTCGATGCTCTTTCCGGAAGATGAGATACAAGACGTGGTCCAAGCGGAAGATGTCGTGCATATCAATTTTGCGCACAACCAGGAGACTGGCAACTCTTACCCTATCTTGAGCCCCAATAGCAACACGCAGCCTACATCCTCGACAAATCCACCCCAAATGTCTCGGGACGCACCAGAACACAGACGAAACGAAGACACGTCCGCGTCTTTCACTTCATCGAGCAGCGAAAAGCGAGTACGGATTGCCTTGGTCACACCGAAATTGGCGAGAAATGTTGGAAATGCAGACATTGCCAGGGAAATGGCGTTCGGAGGCAGTGCTGTTAGTGTCAAGCTCACTATGGTATGCTTTTGTTCACATTCGCTGGTGTCGATATGTATTCAAAATCCCCTGAATTAGGACATTGTGCGCAGGGAGGCCGCGCGCACCTTAGGATGGCTGGAGAATCATGATGTGACGGATGTAGATCGGCCCACAAACTCAGCGTGCGATCACATTCATGGAAGCTGCGCCTGCACTGTTGCTAACCAAATTGTCGCGCGTAAGCGATTTTCTGCGTGCTGTCGTAATATTATCTCAACACCATGTACAGAGGGGCGATTCGAACAGTTTCACTGCCCGAGAGAAATAGATGGGACCGTTTGCGATGACACAACTTGTCCTTACTCACACGCGGCCATGGGTACGTCCACACATCTTGAACCTCCTGCAATGTCTTTGTAATATTCTTTCGTCCAGCGTCGGGAGATTTGACAGGCCATATTGCCGATATCCAGTGTAAAATTTGCACTGAGCTATTTGGTAAGCTGGTTTCGTACGAAATCCCGCAAACTCGCTAATTGTCATGCAAACAGGATTTGCTTGCGAGAAGTGCTTGCAAGCAGAACAGACGTCGACACCACTGCGAATGTATGGCGGAGATATTGTCCTCTAGTGCAGGTGAGGCTCATTGAAGCTCGTGGTGACTCGAACGTCATCTAACGTTGAATTCAGAATGCAGGGTATATAGTTTTCTGATCGTCCCTGTAAGAACTAGACCACTGATAATACTGGTTACGTTGCTGCAGTTGCAAGCACATCTTCCATGCCCACTGTTATTTTGCCAAGACTTTCAGATCTCAAGGATGCCCTGCTGGCTGTACGACTTCATCTATCGGTGTCGAGGCCATACCCTTTGACATGCAAGGTATGTCGTTTACTGGTAGATTGTACACTACTGATGCACGTTGGCCGCAGTACCGCATCTGGTTGTGGTCCATTCTGGATCAATTGTTGAGAAAGTGCCAATACCCATGCGCTATCTTGCTGAACATGGCGCGCAGATAGAGCTGACAGATGAAGATGGTACGACAATCGACTGTTCGTCCCGCTTACACCTAACGTGCCCAATAGTGATGAATATCCTTGCCTCTAAGTACTCAGATCTCGGTCCCGGGCTTGTGGTCAGAATGGTGAGGCATTACGACGTTTTAGGGAGTCTTGATGCATTATTTGATGCACACTTCCCGCACAGTACGGCAGGAAGTTTACAGGGTACGTTGTTTCAAGTGGTTAATTCCATCCATATTCTCATGTGTCGTGTATAGCATGGTTTCATTCCGACACTCAACTGTCGTCTCTATCTGCTGTGCCTCTCGACATGACGTGGATGGCATCCAGCGTTTCGCCTTGAACGGGCCTCCTCTTCCGGTGCTAAGTTCCCGCAGTGCAGTAGATCTGCATACCGCGTTCTCGCCGATCTTGAATGAAGCACCTTATCTAACAATTGAGGACCTTATGCTGGACTATGATATCCCCGATGGCGATGAGATCGTCCTATACGTCAACAAAAGGCCTAAGATCAACACGAAGCCTAACACTGAGCAGCGAGTGGGGAAAGCAGCTGTATACACGGCACGGGATGATTGGGTATGTGATACGATAGTCTTAGAACCTACCGAAGAAAGCGGATTCGCTGACATGATGCCGCAGCAACCCGTAGTACGGCAGACAGATCGAGGAATGGCCGCGTTTCTGTCGTCACTGCTAGTGTTTGCGAATTACCTGTCGTAAGTTCCAAGCAGTGCCACCGCGATAATATAGGCTAACGTCGTATATTTACCATTCAGTGTAGCCGGTAACAGTAACGAGGAAAAGAATATGCAGAATCGAGTTCTCAACCACTTACTAGCCTTGACGCGGTTCCCCCCTGGTACGTATGTGCAACAGATCAAATCGCATGCTGCGCTGACATAGATCCGCGTTAGCTGTGAGGGCGCTATATATCTTGACACTGAATGAAAGTCTTCTCCCCGAAGAAATGCACGCTCTGAGCGAGACTGTCTACCATCTCGCCCTTGACGTGTCGCATCCGTTCGTTACGAAGGGAGACCTGTCTCGGGCGTTTGAAGGTGCACGCGTCTTGTTTGGCGTGCTGATCGAGCGCACAAAGGGAGTGTTTACGTTCCCTGAGAGTGATGTAAGAGCTTCTCAGTCAAAGCTCTTCTCTAAGGTTTTACTCTCCTGGTCAGTGCCCGTATTTCTATCTGGGATATTGTGCTCATCATCGAGCAGTGGCCTTTCTGGAGAGCCTCTTGACGATGCTGTCCTTTATGGTGACATCCTCGTCAACCGTGCTGCGGTGTCAATTAGAAGGCTGGGAGGGGTTCTGTTTGACCCGTCCGTCGGCACACCTGAAGTCACCCCAGTTCCTATCCACGTTCAGCGTCTGATTCAATCCTCGGGGAGAAAAACATCACAACTTATTGTATTCAATGACAGTGTCGAACCTGTTACAATTCTAACTCACTCCCTGAGGCCCAGCACCCTCGCCGCCGGAATCGACAAAGCAAATGTGGAGCTGCAGATTCATGCTCCATTGAGCCTTCGCGAGGTTGTCACACCCGCACTTACTCTAGATGAAGTAGGGTTCAACGCTGTGTACATTGCGCGTGCTGCACCATGCTCTGATGGTGGAGAGGATGGCTTTTTACTGCGGCCTTGCCATGGGGGCGAAGTTGGGTTAGACGTCAATCTAGTATGTTGTATGGCCATTCTTTGTGACTTAATGCTGAGAAGCACAGGTGGCGACAAAGTTGCAACCAATTATTGAGAGACGGAAAGCAATCGGCGAATGGGACATTGATGCTTTTGGGGCATCGCGAACTGATCGTTTGGACACAAGAGAGATTGAAGAAGCCATTGGTACGTTTACTTCCTGCAGAAGCACACCCTACTTCATGCACTTCCTTCCAGTTGTTGCGCTGGATGTGTCACGTTCTATGGAGCAGAAATTTGATGGTGATAGTGACGATGAGGATAGTCAAGTGGATTTTGATGAGATTGCTTTGAACAAGGCCATGGAAGAATTCTCGAAACGCCATCATCAGGCGAGTGATGCACTTATGCAAGGTCAGTTTTATGCCAGTCTGTTTAACCTTGGCTACGTACCACTGATTGTCATTATCAGCGAAGATGTTTCTCACGAGTTTGGACTGCCTTGCTAGTGTGACACGCTATATATGCCATGGAGAGACAACATTGCATTCTGGATCTGGTCGTCAACCACGTGTGAGGGCGGAAGAGGCTCTCAAAGAATTAGTAGTCATATATTCTCGGATGCATTCGGCACAATTCCGAGTTATGGAGTTTGCTCCGATAAGATCCTTCAAGTGGGTTTTATTGTGTGCCTCCGCATTAGCCGTCATTCAATTATTCTGCATACAGCCTATCGCGATGGGAGGATTTCATTGCTGTGGCTACTGATAACCTCACGAAACCACAGCTTCTGACCTACCTAGTGCAACAGGCCGCGGCGATCAAAGAAAACGAGAACCTTCTTGCTTCAAATGGAGTCCCTAAAGTAAGACAGTCCGGTTATTCCTCAGCCACGAGCGCTCATTGGGTCGAGTCACTAGAGATTTATTGATCCTCTTAGTGGAGAAGTTATGGTCGACCCAGTCCGTGCAAGTGATGGTGGGTTGCATCGCTCTGAAATCGTCTTCCCGCTGGCCTATATCTACCTCTTCAGGAGTCATTTACGAGCGATCTCGGATTAATGCTTGGCTTGAACATCGCTCAACGTCACCTATGGATCCAACAGTACTCATTAATTCGACTCTCGTTGCCATCAGTAGTCTGCACAATCCGATTCGAACTTTCCTGGGTGGACGGCCCCGTGCATCCTTGCAACAACATCAGCAACCCTTGCTTATCCGCGTGAAAACCATGTGGGGTCGTGTGCTAGAGTACGTTCTCAACACCGAGGCGAACACTATTCTATCCGTCCTCTTTGAAAACTGGTTGTTCACTGGTCGCGCACCTTCAGTTTCATGTTTATGGCATGGTCAGCGCTTTCCATCGTATAATGCGGACCACTAATGTACTGTCTGTATACCCAGGGTTGACGGATTGCGGTGACGGAAGCATGCGTGGGCGACGGCTCGAACCAGCGTCCTCTTTACGTAGCTTGCCATCTCAAATGCAAGTATTCAGGTCTACAGAAGGCCTTGGGTTTTCTCTCGATGTTGTGGAGCTCAATCACCGAGGTCCGTATATCTATGCAGCGTGTAGGCGGCAACACTCTGATGTGAGAACCACAGTGTGGAGACATGTCCCTGACAACGCTGATCGTATACGGAAGGATTCGAGATCGATGAGCAGGTAAGCATGTGCCCAATTGTCCTTGTCAAGTATACACTGCAATGTCATCTGCGTAGGTTGGATATAGTGAAGCAAGCCTTTGAGGCGTAAGTCTGTGCGTCCTGTTCAGTGGTTTCAGCGTATGAATGTCCTTCCGTAGATTCGTCAACAAATCTGAGGCCTTTGACCACCCGATAGCTATTGGTAAATTTAGTGTTCCCTGCCAGGCATGTCTATTCAGCCTCCCTTAGGTTTAGTCACCTTCGGGAGACAAGTTCACGAGGTTCAGGTGATTGACTTGGCCTCTTCCTGCTGGACAGACTAATCTTCCATCCTGTACTGCAGGATTTGACATTGCTGAAGGAACGATTCCGTGATAGCCTTAGAACAATTATGGTTTGTCATTTCTATAATCCGACGCTACCTCTCTTGAGAGCGTCTCTACAGGCAGATGGCGACACTCCTTTGTTTGACAGTCTTTCCGTTGCGCACTCGATGCTGCAAACTTTCAAAGCCGAAGTATGATGTTCGATTCAAATATACGTCTGTTCTGTATTGACACATTGTTACAACCAGCATCCTACTACAGCCTTGCGTATCATATGTTTAACTGATGGCAAGTGCTACTGCTTCAATGTATGATGGATACTTACCAATCCTTCACGGGCTCATGTGTAGGTTGTGACGTTGGATCCAGTACCTTGCCCCACCAAATCGCCAAGAAGCTGCAGCGATCTAAAATCACAGTCGATTCGCTTGTGGTGCAAACGGGCGATCTCACTAATGTTCTCCATCCAATATCCGTTGTCACAGGAGGATATTCGTTCAAAATTGATACGGTAAGTTGTAATTATAATGTAATGGTTATGCCACGATTGAATGACTTGACATAGCTCGAGAACGCGCTCAATATTGTTGAACTAGAAACCGTGCTCCGCATGAAGGATCGGCTGGAACGTGTACGTTGATCCACTCGAAGCCTAGCCAATTGACCACATACAACTTCTTGTAGCCTCGACAACCCATTGTCCGAAATCCATGGCGCCTTTTGGAGTACAATGATCTTTCTAAGTACCCTGTAAGACGATATCTCATCTGAGTGTGAAGCTACTATTATGTGTGTTTTTCGACAGCTGGATATTGTTACGGCGGACGAATGCCCCGATCGCAAGCCGCACGCGGTAAGAGATCCGTCTGGTATCTCGAAATTCCTGGTGTCTTACAGACGTGCAGCGGTTACATGAACCGTTACTTGCCGCATCGAGGGCCGCCGCTCGGGCCCTTCCACCGAGCACAGACAGGCAACGACGACTAATGCAAGAGCTTCGAGAAGTCATGAATTCACCACATCGTAAGCCAATTGTCAATTTGTGTGGAACACGTTTGATCCTTCATGACGTCTCTTATAGCTGCCATTGACGTTTACTCGGGGAGCGATCTAGCATTCTGGAAAGTTAGTTCCTTTTGTTACATTGATCACTTACTTCGCTAAGCTTACTCTATTATCGTCTAGATTGTGATAGAGGCCCCGAAAGGTGTAGGTGATAACTCTCGAGATAGTCATATTGAATGCTCAGGACTTTCGTAGTCTCCGTATGAAGGCGGAACCTTCCTGGCGTATGTCGACTTCGGCAGCAACTATCCTCAGTCGGCCCCAGAAGTGTGGGTGTGCTATTCCGTGCATCCGTTTTGTAGCTAATAATCATTCGCCAGGCGCTTCATTACACCAATCTTGCACCCGAACATCAACCGGCACGGCAAAGTTTGCCATGCTGCTCTAGATAGAAGCTGGGTTGTCGATATGACCATGAAGTCAGATTTCTTACTCATAGTGTCAGCGCTGGATGCTGACCCGTACTCGTTAGAGTGATCTTGCAGGTTCTATACGGCATTCTGCTCACTCCAGATACCGATAACCCTGTTCGTGCCGCTTACTACATCGTGCTCGATAGCTGTTTTGATCACGCTGTCCTTTCTAGCTCGATCTTCATGCCACGATGGAGTACAACGATGATACCGGTTGGTCGTCGTCATATTCTTGCTCTTGGCGTGCTCACCTTTTTTGATCGGCCTCCAGGTATTCACGCCCAGAGGGTGCACGAGATGGTAATCTCTCAATCGGCGCTCTTGATCCCGTCTCATACCTCTCCACACAGGTTCAGAGACACGCATTGAAGACTAGAGCAGAATGGAAGGAGGTGCTCGAGGCAGAGGATTGAGCACCAGGCTGTTTAGAATCTCGCTATCTTGATTATGAAGTTTATGGCTGTCCAGGCTTGTGTGGTCTAGTGGTCATACACGCGAGCTATGGTTTGACTCGTGATGCTTCTTCGTACTTGCATACAAGTTACATCTTCTCCTAAGTCAATACGTCCACCTTCTCCAGTCGCTGATCAGCAAACCTCTCTCTTCCGCTTGAAACAAAATGATCTTATGCCTGAAATATACGCCGTAGTAGTTGCACTCCTGGCTGAATCGTAGCCTAGCGGCAATGTCGCCCGCTTTAAGCTCGACATCGCGCTGCCCAAGACTAAATGTCTTTCCCAAGAAAAGGTACCCATCTTGGGCAAGACCTTTGTCTTCCGGTCTTGAGTGTCTTCGACATCTTGTCAAAAACACTCAAGATGGTGTGTAGTTTTCCTGAGGCTCACCGTCGTTCGACTTTTCCGAAAGCACCTCCCCGCCCTTGAGCATCTTCCCCGCACCACCAAACACGTCCCCCATCTCGTTCTCAGTCCCGCCCCCTTCTTTCTCAATCGCATCACTCACCCTTGGGGCTAGGCGCCCGATGACGCCCGCGCCTCGCAGGAACACGACGCAGATCCCGGAGCTCGCCGCGGCGAGCGCGAACGCAAACCAGCCCGCCGCGCGAAATCCGCGCTCGAGCACCGCGGGGGCACTCCCAGGAACGGTGGGGTGGCGCGCAGCGTACGCGTCAGACACTGCGGTCGCGATGCTCGAGGAGAGCGCGAGCGCGAGGGACGTCCCGAGCTGTACGTGAGCGCACGTGCCGGTCAGTCACTCGAGACTCGAGACTAACAAGCTGGGGTGGAGGACAGGACACTCACCCGCGTCGCAACGTTAAATATGCCCCCTGCGAGGCCCTGCGAGTCCGCGCCGAACGCGATGCTGATCTGGAGCTTGCCTACCGTGTACGCCACGTCCGTCCAGCTGACGAACACCATCACCAGAAAGCCCGAGGCCCAATAACTCGCGTGCACGTCGAGGAGCGTGAGGGCCAGCGGCGCCGCCTGCTCACCCAACGTCAGCGACCGTATGCGAGAAGTAGGAGTCGCGGATGTACCATGCTAATGAGAAACCTACCGGCGATGAGGACGTCCCCCCGCACGCGCGAGAGCAGCCAGCCCGTGATGGCGTTAGCAGCGAGCACGGCGATGACGGACGGGAGGATCTCGAGCGATGTCCGCAATGGATCGAGACCCTGCACCTGGTCGAAGTACAGCGCGACAAAGTAGTTCGTCACGTTATAGCCGCCCCTGCGCGCGCAGCATCAGCATCGACCGACGGGCTCCGCATAGAGCACGCACCAGGCGAGGAAGATCGTACCGACCATCGGCGCCATCTTCGTCCCGCGCTTCATCAAGATACTCACGGGCATGAGCACGGACCTGTCCGCCCGCTCGCGGTGCGCCTCCCATGCAACGAAGAGTAGTAGGACCACGAGCGACACCACAAGCAGTGCGGGCGCCCACGGAGTGCGCCATCCTCTAGACACCGTCGTGGACTCCCTAGAGGCGACGTCAGAAAGGCGTGCCGCGTGACTAGGTACGGTGGTACAATCCATAACGCTTACGAAAGCACGAAAGTGAGCAGCCCAAAGCCCGACACGCTCAAGCACGCGCCGATCCAGTCAATACCTTTCGTGTACCGCGCTCGCGCGGGGTCCGGCGGGATGGTGAGAACGCCCAGTACGAAGAACGTGGCAGCGAGGCCACCCTGGATGTAGAAAATCACCCGCCACAGCGACACCTTCTGACAGAGAATCCCGCCTGGACCCAGAACCAGGTAGATCCGTCAGGCATCGTGGAAGCGAGATCTAGCGGACGGCGCACATACCGCCGATGGGGCCGACGACGTAGCCAATCGACTGCCCGGCGCCTAGTGCTGCGATGGCTTTGTTCTTTGTCGCAGAGCCCGACTCAAAGTGCGAGACGAAGATGCTGATGCCTGGTGTGCCCTTGGTCAGCTTCCAACCATGTCAGTGCTATTCAGCTATGGTCACCTGTAGGCGTGTTCGCAGCAGCGCCGACGCCCGTTAGGGCCACGAAGATGATGAGGGCAACCTTGTTCGGCGATAGTGCCGTGGCGAAGCTCCTGGGACATCCGTCAGCAAGATGGGAGGGGAAAACGCAGAGCGTGGGCGTACCACACGGCAACGAAGCCTGCTCCGAAGAGGGACATCTTCTTGCTTCCCACCACATCCGCAATCCGCCCGAAGAGAAGGAGGAGGCTCCCCTGGGACAGGCTGCTCTCAAGAATCATGTCAGCGCCCGTCCTGAGCGGTGGAAGGCAGAACGAGGGAACGGACGCACGCGTAGACATTCAGAGGCCACTGCAACTCGGATTCTTTGAATTGCAGAGCCCTTCCCAACGAGGGCAGCGCTATTATAAGAGCCCCATGCACGAAGATCTGCAGTGAGACAGACTCATCACGGGACCGGGAAGGAAGGGAAGCGGAGAAGGTACGAACGTTCAGCATCGTCACACCGCAGACGGAGAGAATAAAGAGGGTATCTCGGAAGAACGCCATACTGTGACACCAATCTGCTCTGGACGCAAGATCCATTTGTACGCCTACCACGGTGCCGGCTTCCCAAAAATTTCCGAAAGCTGGGCGATGTGACACGGACTCTGAAGAGAACAGCATTGCATGCTTCCATTAGGACGGCACTCTCCGCACATGCTGCCTGGGGCATCAAGCTCCTTGACTGCAAACCAGAGAGTGGGTCAATTTAGTGGCAATACACGTCTGATGCTGGCCAGTAGCGGAGGAAACACGAAACCGGGATAAGCGCCTGCTTTGCAGGACTGACATTGCGGATGAAGGGGAGAATCACGGTATGCAGTATGGAGAGCTCTCAGGAAATGAAGGCGTGGGAGTACAATTGGGCAGACAATTTGAAGCGTGCGGGCCATACCTTCCCGCACTTCTTACTCCTTCTGTCTGATTGGAATGGTGATTCGAGCACAGGACTCACCAGCATATGCAATAGCCAGTTCCAGGGATGCTTAAAGGACAAATGCACGTAACCCAGTTACAGCTGAGTTTAGTCTTCTCCGTCATTTGTTGCTGGTATGTCGGATGCTGAGCTACCGGCTGAGTGAGAGAGTTGACCACCGCATGACGGAGAGAAGATGGAAGGTGCAGAAGCTTTATCGCGCAGCACCTGTAAGTGCCACAGGATGAACCTCCAAGCTGTGGCACTCCCATTTCGGGGGACGACTGGCGACGGATCTATCAGACTTCCCACTTCGATGATAGTCATTGCTGGCTACTATAGACATATGATGATGTGAACTTGGAGCTCGTAGACAGCACCATATCAACTGAACCTTCAAAGGACAGTGACAGTGATACCTGCCACCTAAGTATTCAATCTATCGCGAAATCACTGTGAAGAGAAGGTGATATTTTTTATCAGCTATTTGGACCACTTGAATGAATCATCTAGAAGACTTTTGCAAAGCAAATACTATGCTGATGTTCTTGAAGAAACGCGGGTGCAAGAAAGTTGAACGGCGGGAGTATCCGAACGGCGCGATGGAAATCGCCTTCCCACACCGAGTGAAGGGACAGAAACGGACGACGCGGAGCTGGAATCTTTGGACCAATTGGATTCGCGGCCACAAGGTGGTTACAGACCACGTAGAGCGCCATACGTCGGAGAAGTGTTCACTGGTCCCGCTCAACCGCCGCTGCTATCAGCTCTGTCGGAAGACTGGACGCCAGACGCGTACGGTTGAACGCCGACACGGTCATATTTCAAAGCAGTCACTCTCAAACGGACTTATCAGTTTCTGCGCAACCATACATTCATTTTCATCCCATAACACTCATCTCAAGGAAGCCAGTTTGACGATGAGTCGCAACGGGAAGATGCCTTCGGGGATTCCTCTCGCGTCTCTTGTGGGTCTTCTTTCCGTAACCGTATACAAGCGTCCTTTTATATAGCCCTCATGCATCATCTCTTCTGCAGTCCTGCACATCCCGTGTCTGTCTCCGTTACATCGACCCGTACACGAGACATTCCCAGGCTTACACATCCGGCAGGCTAACACTATCACACCGACGCTACCATGTCCAGTAGTGCTCCCTCTAACATCGGGGTAACGGATGGTGCCCTCTTGATGGGGACTTTCATCGCCTCCGTGTATGATCTGCTGCTCTTCTGAGTTTTGGCTATTCTCACTCACTGTGTTTCGGAAGTGCTTTTGGGATCACCCTCATGCAGACATACATATACTTCGCCGCGTTCCCAAACGATCCCAGGCTCATTCATGCGACAGTAAGTAAGCCTAACTCCCTTTCCCAAGCTACTTTGGTTGACAATTTCTAGGTCTGGGTACTGCTGTGCGTGCGCCCCAAGTAGCACCGTTTACTGCTGACTAGTAGGATGTGCTGTTAGTATATTCGATACCGGTCATATAACACTCGCGTGGCACATGATGTATCACTGGCTGATCCTTAACTTCAACAACCCAGACGCTCTGGGAATTGTCGTTTGGTGAGTTGGTCATCACGAAACCAATTCTCCCTACCGGCTCTTACCTTTCGCCCAGGAGTCTCAACGTGAGTCTGCATTTCTGCAGATTTGCGGCAGCTCATTGAACGTCGTCTGGGTGCAGATAACGGTCATCCTAACAGTGAGTACGCAGTTCAGTAATCAGAACGCCAGCTGACCGCGGAGTCGAAAGGGCCTCATCACTCTGATCGTACAAGGGTATGTTTCCGGGGCTCTCTCTGCCGTTTCATTGTTCATCACGATTTAATAGCTTCTATGCACGCCGGGTCTTCATCTGTACGTCTTTCCTGCGCTGACCTCTTCAGTGAGCCTTATCACGTTGGCAGTGAGCAACCGCAACTGGTTCCTTACCATCACCATCGTATGTCGCTACCTGATCTGTCACCACGTCCTCTAACTTGTAGTTCAGATCATTCTTGCTATCGTGAGATTGGGTGCGTGGTCTCAATCGCTCATCCTTCCGTCTGTTCTGCGGTTAACGACACTCCTCCACGATAGTGGTCGGCATCGGTGCGTGACCCTGTAGTCCATAGATCCCTCGGCTAAATAAACCGCAATTGCCCAGTGAACGCAGTAAAATTGTCAGTACCTTCCACATACCACGCCCACCTGCACTCACGCACTATCCAGCTTCGAACTCAAGTACATCGACCTCTTTCCGAAAGTATGCGGGGTGTGTTGTGTTCGCCTTTGTCGCCCGTACGCGTGCTGACACAGTTCCGTTTCTCAAAATTTCCTTCGTACCCTTACTTCCCTTCTCGCAGCCGATCGTCGGGCTGTCGTTGGGCGCGGGCACAGCTGCGGACGTGCTCATCACGGCCTCGCTCGTGTACTTACTGCGCGGCCACAAGACAGGATTCAACTCGTGAGCATACGCACATGCCCAGCCCATTTGCAACAAGTAGCTGACAACGCTATCTTTTGCGAATTTCCGGGACCAGCTCGTATGTATTCTGATTGCGTTGAGAATAGCATGGACTGATTTTGGCCCTGATAACGTACATCAGCACGGACACGGTACGCGTCACCTCTTGATTTGTATGTCCCCCGCTCATCCCGCGCAGGTCGTCGACCGCATCGTCTTTTATACCGTCAATACTGGCCTGTTGACGAGGTATGTTTATCACCATGCACACCGTCCGTGTGTTCGCTGACCCATGCCGTGATGGCAGTGTCGTGGGAATTGTCGTCATCATCACGGTACGCACCTCATCCGCCTTCCTCGGGGTCGGGCTCACGCCCAGAAATGCAGTTTGTTTCCATCACGCACGACATGATCTATTTTTCTATCTACCTCACCTTGAGCAAGCGTGCGTTTCCCGCCTTCCATGCCCATTGTTCCCCGCTGATCCTCGCGCAGTGTACATCAACGCGCTCCTCGCGACGTGCGTCTCGTCGCATCTGGTGCCACTTCGTTGCTGCCTCTGATAACTGACTATGTGGCATGCAGGCTCAACGCGCGACGTGCGACTCGCGGCTGCGGTATTGAGGATACGACGCTGTCGATGTCCCTCGCTGCACGCGTGGGGGGCACGCACCAGAGCGAGGAGTTCTCGATGAACACGGCCCTCGGGGGAAAGAATGACACGGTGCGCGACCATTTCTCTCCTCCCTTCCCGGCATCAGTGCATTGATACAACCATAGATCACACCTGTTGTGCACGTCGTGACGACTACAATGACGGACAGCCGGTACCCGCCAGAGGACAACAAGGTATGGTCCCTATCCTCGTCCAAGGTATTTCAAGTTCTCTGACGATGGTTTGACTCTGGCCCGCGCAGATCGAGGGCTGCACCTTCGCCGAAACCCAGTCCAGCGTCTACAACCCTGAGGTCTAGGGCGTCCTGAGCCCTGTCGCCCCGCACCTCCGAGTGTTTCTAGTTGTTCGCGAAAATGCAGATGACTTGCTGTGTTTATTGCGCTGCCTTCCGTTCACTTTGATCTGTACCGTATCTTTCGATGTTACGGAAATGATACCACCAGCCGTAAGTTATTGTTGATGAGCTTAATTTTCCGGCTCCAGTCCGCCGCAGGCGCGAAGCATTTCGCACATCGCACCCAGCAATGCCCGCATGCGGACGCCACTCTTAAATCGCGCAGTGCGTACACGATTGTCACGCACCTCCGAGAGCTCGGATCTCTCGGCCAAACACCTGCATCTCTCCCCAAGAATACGCGAGCATATGTACGCCTCCTTTCTTTTGTGTGCTGTGTTAGCCGCTCTCCGTGCTGATTCCGTCCAATGTAGCCACCGGCGAAGCAATCGAAGCATCAGGCGCCAGCGCCGCAGCGTCTTCTCGGCGCCTTGGAAACTTGAATGGATTCGGAAGACGGCATCCCGTCGAGATGCGAGAGTCTCTGAGCTCCGAGCGTTGTGGCGCAGAGTCTCTCCTTCGCATGGAGGCAATTTGGGCATCTTCCGGTGCCCAGGACGTGGTGGCGCAAAGTCTCGTAGATTCTCAAACCTCCATCGTCTCGTCATGACGAGATGATGACGATGAAAGCCTAATTGCTGTGCCCCCGGCCATTGATATACCTGAGAACGAGGAGGCTGCATAGTCAGACTTTTGTGCGTCAAGGAATGCACAACCCATGTCGTTCCGAGTGAGTGAGGTGATGGGCTTCATTGGAGAATACTAGGTTTTCATGTAACGCACCTATCGACGGATACCGCTGGCCGCGCTACTATAACAACTAGGGATCCACCGTTCCGCTTACAACTTCCTGGCTGAGTGGACAAGATGTATAGAATCACAGACCCACATAAACCACAAAACATGACAGCGAAGGTGCGTAGGCTCATTAGGCGCGACATTGAAAGTGAAATGAATGAGAGCATAAGAGCACAGTGATGTCGAGAACTTAAACGAGAGAATGAGAACATAGTGACGTCGAAATTTGCTGGAACAAAGGGTAGCATTCAACTCCAACCTCTCTGCTCCGTGTCTACGAATACACTCCTACTCCCTTCTCCGTCCTCTCCTCGTGCCCGTTCCCAGGCCTGAGGCTCACCGGACAATGAGCGGGAGCTGCGCATGCACGAGCAGACGTGCTGCTAAGACGGTGCTGAGGCGACACATGGGAGTGGGAAGGTGAGCATGCGCAGACCGATGTAGCACGCCTTTGACAAGCTCTGGGCGTGTGTGCTGGGGGCGAGGGCGAGGACCAGGAGGAGCGCTAGGAGGATTGGGCGGGCGATGGACGCACGCCCGAGCCACCATGTATAATATTACATGTTACATGTAAGTAGCTCCGTCGCCTGTCGCGTTGGGAGCTGCAGCCTGCAACAGCTGATAGGAACATCGCGGAAACTTATGATGGATTTGCTGTCTTGAAGTTGAAGGCAGACTCGCCATAAATCTTACCATGGAATTTTCGCCTGTGAGAGCGTTGCGGGAGCGCAAGTGCTCATGTCGAGGTCCAAACGCCCCCGCCAACGTTCACTGGATGTTTAAAGGTCGCGATGTAGTCATGGTGCTCCGTTCGATGTCTCTTGATATTTCCTGTTTCGATTTACCCACAGATAAACTGCATTACAAGAAGCGTACGAAAACCAAGTGCATTAAATAAGGGAGCGTAAATAAGACAGCTGCCAACCTTAACGAGCCGATCAATTATAAGGATTTGCTGGTTCAAATATCAGATGGCAAAATAAAATCACCCTGTATCCACAGCACGCGAAATATCATAAAACGTTTCAACCCTAATGATCCAGCCATAAATCCCCCCGCCTGATGCTATTCATGCGATGTCTGAGCACAAAACATTGTCAGAATGTCCCAACAGTGTAACGATCAGTTACTCACTTGGCTTTCATGTGATATGCAATTGCACGCATATTACGCGGAAGATGTGCAGACGAGGATTTCATCCAGCTCGGCAGACACCTAGAGCAAGTGCTGCAGACGACATTTCCTGTGTCACCCGAGGTCAGAATGGAAGCGATGACATCAACATCTTCCCTGCTTGGCGGTCCGATGCGCAGATGCGACCTGTTGAACGTCTCTCCAGGGGGAAGGAGCTTGATGCAGGGGTTGGCGCCGTTCACCAGATGATCCTCGAAGATCACGTTTTTGGCGGCTCTACAGCAGGTGGATCGCCATGCTCAGTATGAGACGCAAGAAATATTCTGAGTTACGCACTGTCCACTGCACATCGTTCGATACCATCGTTTCTCCTTCAGAACATGTCGCACCTGACGAAAGCATCACAAGTTCAATGAAACTGCACATACAAGTCATGCTCAACTGGTCGCTCACCAAATCCGCCCAGGTTGATGCATATCGCAGGCGCGGATCGCCACAGACACACCAAAGCTGTCCAGCCTGCACCAGATGGTCGAGCAGTGCACCCGGTGTCTCCCAGGGCAGACCTAGAGTGTCTAGCATGTCGCGAACCAACATCGTGATACCCGGTACCGCACTGACCCATGGAGTTCGTGCCTCCCATGTGCGCTTGCGCCGATTAAGTGGCCGCGGCGGCCATGCACTTGCATTCCAGGAAACGTCGGGGTGCGCCGTGCGGAAATGATCGTGGACGTCCACATATAGTAGCGGAGGAGAGTGGTCATCGTCGTCAGCACACTCGTTGCAGCGGAAGAATGCTGATGCATGAACCAGGACAGATGTATGATCGGAAGCGGTTGAACGCGGTAACTCGCTGACCGGGGGCTCACTGAGATTGTGCTCTTGCTCCAGCATCGCGGCAAGATCTCGCTCGACGCGTAGTTGGTATTGCTCTATGTCCGCGAGCATGGAAGACTCTTTCGACTCGAAGTCAGTTTGTGAGATTGGTATATCAGCACGATTCCTGGTAGACAGTGCCACCATGGAAGGCAGCTTCACAAAATCAGCAGGGTTCGGCATGAGCTTGAGCGTTTCCTCGTCCATATTCGCGTCCAAGTAGGCCGTGTAGTAAACGCAGATCTCTCCGGATCGCTCGGTGACCTTGCCTTCGAAGGCGATCCGGGCGCGATCATCCTTTTCCTGTTCGATCATCGCGATGAGCTTGGGGCGCAGGCCATTCCAGACTGGACGTATGCCAATTAGATATCAAATTTGGGGAAACGGAACACGTACCACGTGTGGAAAGCTCCCTAGGCTGATCCAAGGCCTTCGTCCACTCGCTCGTATTGGGAAAGTCTTGTTCGGTGTATCCCAGTTCCTGTAACTTCTCCAGGACACTAGTAGAATATTAGTAAGGCGTCGATATTGCGGATACAGAATGATACCTTTCCTTCCTACCCTTGCGGGCTTGATTCTCAACCGTCCTTTTCTCTTTCCAGCAAGAGCTTTCCCATTGCAGGAGTGCATAGTTCAGCTGCCGTAAAATAAGAGTCAATGTACGAAGTCATTCAATGAGGCATGCCAACTTTCCTTTTCCATCTGGCTAGCATATTCTTGACGTTTCTTCACGTAATCGAGAAGACCTGCTTCATTACCTCCGTCGTAAAGGGCGAGGAAACGATCGAGCACCGTTTGAAACTCCAACTGATAATATTTATGTCGATCATTATGCAAAGTCACATCTCCGACCTGGTCGGATCGATTCCCACGGCCTGGGAAGAGTATTCGGTGAGTTTACATAGGGCAGTAGCAGGATGGCCGCATACCCCACCAACGCATTTTCTCTGTGGGCAACATGCTGAAAATGGTGCTGCGTATTTCCTTCGGTAATGACAATGATCGAGTTAGCATCTCGCCTTCTTCCACGCTATGCAGCGGTAAGTCTGAATTCAAACCAATCGTTATAATGAGCTCACTTGTATTTGTAACATGCCCTGCAGAACCTGACACGGAGCGCATAGTCGGCGTTCGTCGCGCGTCCGACCCCGCACGCCTTTAGTCTGTGAGTAATGCAGTAGAGATAGAACATAGAACAAACATTACCATGCAGGTTCGGTCGTATAAGATAGCTGCATACGCCAGCTCACTTATAGCTGGTGGGCACTCCGGAAGACCAGGAACATTTCGGAGGGCTTCAACCCAGACCACACGGGACCGCCTCGTTAAGAACATCCCACGAAATTCCTTCGACGTACGCGACAGCTGCAAAATGTCGCGTAGCTCGAGGTACGATGCAATCTACATCGAGCAACAATGATGAGCAGACATCCGATACTCCGTGGCTAACCGCACCTGAAGAAAAATATCCAGTGGCTTGTCCTTCAATTGCGCGAGCTTACCATCCGTGCGGCATTTTTTTACTTGGGCTTGATGAGTAGGTGTCGCGGTGGGTAAATTGGTTGGCTGGAGAGCGAACCGACCACGGCGAGGACGCGCTCTCGAGTATGGGCTAATACGAGGCTTTGACGGTCCAGCATCCGTCCTATGCTCTGTGTTCATAGCCTGATAGTGTCTCGTATTTAGAGGTGGGAGTGAAGAGAGGAAATTACCGACATCAATATCTCTGCGATAGCATGCAAAGAAAAACTTATATACCTAGGAACAGAACAAAGAACTGAAGAGCCTCAAGGTAAACGCGCGACGCGCGACACGTGACGCGCGCGAAGCGATGTTGGCTAAGACCATTGTCCTCTCAGAGGAAAAGGCTAACAATAAAGAACCTCTACGGACTGACCATATAATACAAAGAATACAACACGTGGAAGTGATTGCACGAGGCGCCATCTTCAAGGAATACTACCACCGAAGGTGAGCCTTCCTCGTCACAGTCTCAATGTGATGCCTACAGGAAAGACCGATTAGAACCCTACTAAATATGCAGAAAACTCAAACGCACTTTGCTCTCATTTGGTGCGCAATCGCCGCCGCATCACGAGGGAGACTTTCGATCCAATACTTCCCCCGCGGCCTGAATTTGTGACAGACTGCGCACGGGCGATAGCTTATATCGGTATTCAGAAACTCTTGGATAGTTGCCATGGACTCCTCGTTGAACGACGGGATGGGAAGGGAATCAAATGTCTGCCCATAGGGGAGCAGCTTCAGGCCATAGCTCTGTCCATGTATGGCGTGATCGTCAAAGATGAATCCTGCCATTCTACAAACAGCTCAGAAGAGGCAACATCGCAAAAGACGACAAACTTCGGAGAGGTCATGTCAACGAACCAGCGATGCTCCATGTAGACGTGGATTATCTAACAGAATTAACAAGATCATCAGGCAGCGGATCTCCACACGAGCACCAGTCTCCCTGCACGGACTAGCTCATCCAGTTCTTCGCTCGAGGGATCCATCCGCAGTCCGAGCGCTTTGAGCGCACTCGAGACCAACTGTGTGATACCATCTGCCGCGCCTATCCACACAGCCACCTTTGGACCTGTTGAGCGCCCAGCGGCCAGTTCGACACGTCCCAAACAACAGTCGGATACTGTGTCCCGGAAGTAGGCAAGGATCTCGGCGTAAGGAAGAAGCGTCATCTTGAACCCGTAGTCGTGACAGTTGAACAGCGTGCAGGCATGCGTGCGTCATCACTGGTTCGCAGAGCCCGCTGAAGATGTTTCCCATCCCCCCAACATTCGACATCTGACCATCCCGCAGTGTGTGGCGATAAAGCATCTCATAAAGAGCTTTCTGGACTCCGATTTTGCGCATTTGCGCATCTATGACCATAGCAGGAACAATAGTCTCGAAGTCTTTAGGCGTGAGGGGTACCGAGGCATCATTGCGAGTCGTCAAACCCTTAACGGAAGGGTGAAGGCTAACAGTGGCGAGGTTAGGCATCGTCTTCTGCTCCTCAGCAGATATCGTCTTGCCCAGGTATTCTAAATAATAATTGTGGACCTCGTCACATCGGGCCGCTACTTTCTTCTCAAATTCGATGCGAAGCCTGTGAGCCTCCTCTTCTTCGATCTGGGCGATCATTTTCGGTTGATCTCCCAAACTGTCAAATTCAGACGTTAGGTCGAGACTTAAACACAACGAGAGACACATACTGCGCGGAGTAAGCTTTTGAAGTTGGTGGAACCAATCTCTAGTTCTAGGGAAGTCGGTCGTGGTACATCCCAAATCCTTCCAATTCCGCACAATGCTGCAGAAGTCTCAGCCTCTCAGCATATCGAGGCATAGATTCTATGACATACCTGCGGTATCTACTACAACGCTTCTCATTGTCCTTCTTGGCCTTCTCGTCATTGACCACGAGCTCCCACCTCACGAGTTCATGGCTGAGCTGCATGAGATTAATATAATTTTTCATTGTGTAACCAGATATAGAACGCGTGGCTCACCCGCATCATTGCAGTGGCGTATTCTCTGCGGGCGCTCACAAACTTCTCCACCTCCATCGGTTCGTGCTGTATATCGAGGTACCGTTTTACGACCGCCTTGAACTCGGGCACATAATACTTGCCCTTTTCAACGTTCTTGAGACTACTAGGATTACTCCACAAGTACTCTGAAATGGTGTAAGCGCTGCAGGAAGGAGTCGGTGGATGCTAATTATATCCATACCCCAGCGATTGTACGCGACTCGCGCAATAGCGTGAAGATTATCTTTGGAGATTTTGAGGTACTTTTTCGGAACGCACAAGCTCCCTACCCTTGATAAGGCTGTGCGTACATTAGCAAATTGGCACAAGGAGCGTGATCAACACAGACTTTATCTTGTGGCACACCCAGCAAAACCGCATGGCGATTCCATATTCCACGCCACCGGCACGACCGATTCCGCACGCCTGAGTGTTTACTCTCAGAACTGAATCCACTGAAACTGCGAAAGAGGACGCATGAGACAGAAGCGATCGTACACAAGAGCTGCGTACCAAGGTTCGCTGATAAAGCGTGCCGGGCAGGCGGGTAGACCGGGTACGTTCCTGTGACAGCGATCCACAAATGCCGGCATTGCCTTGAGAGACATATCTGGCGGAGCTCCTTTGATACACGAGCCAAGTGTAATAAATCGGGAGGAGTGAGACTTGATGCGATCTAATCAAAATAGTAACATCATCGCGCCATCAAGACAGAGAGGGGAATTCGACATGCCTTGAAAAATATGTCCAATGGTATGTCTCGCAATCGAGTGACTTTGCCTCGGTTGCGCAGCCCTCCTTTTTTGGACTTCGTGTCAGATACATTGCCAGCGAGTCGGTGGATGCGTGATTTTGCGCTGATTTTTGGTTGTCCAATATAGCTAAAAGCCATGGCGACTAAGTTCAGTACAGAAAGATAGTACTGAAAAGTAGATGATACACACGTTGCCATGAGGGCTATGGTGTGGCAGACTTCCGTGACCGCGCCCGACTTCCTCTATATCCCTGAGATTTGTGCTCCTCGCGTTGTACGAGTGCTGTGTCCTCGTAGTTTCTGGTTTGATCTGAGTCAACAGTCAGTTCTCACAAATCAGGAATTCACTGTTCCTATAGAAAAAAATTCTTGGATAAGCGTCTAGATTGTTTTCTACCTGATCCAGGATCGAGGAGCCTGCGTACAGACAGCCGCTTCGCCTACGCATATAAATACAAGGTTCAATCGTTGTCAACTGACCGGTATACCGTTGAACTTGCAAAGAACAGATACTAGTCTACGTCATCGAGCTGGAGGCGGTAGGAAGAGATCGTGTGAACTCAGACGCGCGTTTGACGTCGCTCGCTTAGTCAGCATGAAACCCACTATTGACTTTAATTAGGCTTAATTCTTTTCAGTGACATTGCGAATTACCCCAGATCTAGCAACTTATAAGTAAATGCACATATGTGATGGCGAACTCGCGCATTAAAATTGGGTGTCATAATGACTGCAAACTGCGGCATGACGCGTACGGTCACAGTTGTGACAAGTTCGTTCACGAGGTATAATCACCAAAGTACTACATTATACATCAGCTTGAAGCTTGAGGCCTTAAAGATGCACCGCTTGCGGTTATATTCTGCCATTCCTCGCTTCATACAGGCGCATGATAGATATGTGCGGTGACGGTGAATGCGCACCCGGATGTCAGAGCCCGTCAGTGTTCCTGAATCCCGAACGACAAAGACCGCCTCCTCGCGTGTGATCATGAGATATACAATGGTGTTTACTCGTCGCTATTACATTTTTTGCCAAGGTTGTTGGTAGATTCTCTGAATGCCCTGGGCAGTAGGCAACGCACCTAACATGCGTGATGGCGAGTTGTATGTATCCAAATTCTGCCGAGAGACCTTTATTGTCTGAAGACTTTCCTCACACGCAGTGGCCTCGGGAATGAGTAGACATCGAAAAGGAGTTCTAAGCAGCCGTGGTGAAAAGCATTGGTCCATGTATGTTGACGTCGCGTACCTCCTCTGGCATTCACTAAGTACTCACCTGTACATGTCCTACCTGTAAAAAGACGAACGACCTACGCCCGATGCATGTCTTCTCCGCATCTGTGTTCGAGCCCGCAGCGGACGAGGTGCGTAGGACGACGCTACTCGCCGAGGAAGTCGGCCGCTTTGCAAGGCCTGAAAGTAGCCGCCTGCCATCGAAGACGTCGTGCGCAGGCCCTGGGTCGAGAACCTGATCGAGCTGTGCGATAGTTCGGACGAGGACTTGCCGGACATCGCGCAACTGCAGGTGCGTGAGTGTAACAAGGAGGGGAAGGGGAAGAGAGTTGTGAGTAACGACAGCGATGCTGGTGTGCATGTTACTGCGTTGGTGATATGAGTGTGGAGTGACTAATGTTGAGACTAGCATACGACGCGCATGCAGCGAAGGGGAAGTCTAAGAAGGCGACACGTACTAATAAGAGGAAGTGGAAGGGCAGGTGGGACTCCAATGACGACGCGCCGCGTGAGGTATCGGGCGACTCGATTGCGTTGTGGAACCGCAGAGACAACGATATGCCAGGTCATCGATTCTATGCATATGAGGTCGTATCTGTAACTCAATAGAAATTTGACAGCGAGTGAGCGCCATACACAAAAATCTACTGGAGTCACGGCCGCGGAGGCAGCCTGCATCTCACGGTAGAAAGTAGATAACATCTAAGATGAAGAGGGGCGAGCCGGAGACGGTGCAAGGGGATAGAGTAGCCTACGGGAAGGGCTCTTGAAAGCACTTGAAGTATATCCAGTATTCTCTATCAAAGGGTTCCAAGACACTGTCCAGCACAGATGGCCAGCCCCGTGCATCCTCCCATGCTCTATCATTGGCTTTCAACCACTCCCAATACGCCGGCCAAAAGCCCGCTCTGCCCCACGAAAGAACGGATACGAGATCCCCTTTCTCCGAGACCACAACGTTGCGCGGCTTGAGGTCTCCGTGGCAGAAATGCACCGCGTAATTATCTTTGAGCATCCGACGAATACCGCGGACGAGGAAGGCCGGATAATCTGGACTATTTCTGTCGATGCACACTTTGAAAGCACGGTAGAGGGCATCGTGAAAGGCGGTAACGCTCGAGAACGGACCGCGATCGTCGGACTTCAAGTTCTCAAATACGATGTCGAAAGCAGGAGTACGGCCGAGGCCTCCAATGTACGTCCCAGTCAGCGATTTGAGACGAGAGTAGTGGTCCCGGAGCTGCTCGACCAAAATGGACTTTGCAGCGGGAGTCATCTCGGGCCAAACTTCATCCAAGGAACGACCAGGCATGAAATCCATAAAGAAGAAAAACTGGGAGTCGTATTTATACGTGCCACGTATCTTCGTTCCAAATGCACGTTCGCTGAGAAAATCATGGAAATAAGGTAGGGCGACGAACCTGAGGGACAGGAATAGACGTATGTGCTGAAACGTAGCGGATTGCGGCGACCTCGCGGGGGAAAACACGTCGCCCGTACTTGACTACCAGCAGTTCTGTGACTTTCGCCACGACGGATCCGTCTTTCTTTGAAAGCACAGGAGCACTGAATACTTCTTCTGGAGCGGGAAGATGGATGTGTTCGTTGGGTGACCACTGGCAGGGTTCCGTAACGATGTCTGCCTTAGACGACAGAGGGTCGTCGCGCAACGGAGTCATGGAACGTTCGACAATAGCGCGTGTTTGAAAGTCTAAAAAATTAGTAAACGTCGTAGACTGCGGTCTTGATAATCACGGTTCACTGAACTCACAAGCAACAGTGTCATGAACGGACCTCGCAGGCGCGTCCCTCAAACAACATAAGGCAAGGTATTCGAGAAGAGGCAGCAGCTCTGAAAGTTTGTCATACTTTTCTCGTATTGCCTGGGCTTCGTTTTCACAAGGAGTTGATAGCGCTGCATCGGAGGGGTGGCTTACGAGAGTGTCGTAGATACGAAGAAATGAATTAAACTAGAACATCCTCGGTGTCAACAGCATGGCGATCTATATAAGGTTGGGCTCAGCCACATCCCTCCAATGTCACGTGCATTGCACTTGTCTTGTAAAACTAACTACATTGCAAGAACTCAACGGAAGGCCATTCTTCAAACGATAAAAATTAGCGGCTAAGAACTCCGAATTTTTATCATTTGTTGTTCTCTCAAAGAGCTCTGCACTGCGAAGTTTTTTAATTTTCAATGTAAGGCTCCTGCACGTGACATGTCACGGCGGATGGTTATGGCTGAGCCCAACGTTCTCAGGGTGCTCCTGCCACGTCCACGCACCGACGCCTGTGTGTCCGCTTCATGCAAACTTGGCACACCAGTGGCATTCGGCTGGCCGGCCGTATTTGGGGAGAATATAAGCGGCGCACTCACCCGCACACACAGCGTACCTTCTCTCCTCCTCAACTATCCCCTCCACCACATCTTGCTCACCTTCTCCCTTCTTCCTAAACACCATTCCATTTTTTACTGTATTTACATCCTTTCGTTGTGGCTGACGAGGTGCCTCTTACGTACCTGAGCTAGTCATATAGCGTAGTCAGCCGTTTCCTCGTTTCAACATTGGCGTAGTCAGCTAATTTCATCCGTTTCACCGTTTCATCGGTTTTAATAGATTTATTTTACAAGTCTAATTGACCCTGCGCTGCGCCCAACAATGGCCAACTGGCACAGTCCCCGGGCTGTGCCTGCTTCCGCCGCCGGAAACAGCGAAACCTGCCTCTCGTGCGGCAGCGTAGCACCACCGACTCCCTTGGTGAGCGGCCGGACGGAAAGGGGCTCCAGCCGTCCTTTCACTCCGACCATCATCTGGCTGCTCACCAGGTACGTCGCGAAGCCCGATGCATGTCGCCGTTTCATGACGGATTCTGGCGTGCAATAGGCACATCCCTATATCTTGCGTCACTCAGGAAACTCTGAGCCTAGAAGATTAGACCTTACATCGATACACCAGATCAGCGCACAGCAATCTACTTGTGCGGTACTATGTCCACAAGTGCACAGACGGCAACGCTTGTACCCTTGGATGTCCAAGCTGTTGAGACCGAGAGCCTTCTTTTTGATTCATTTCTTCGTGTCTATGACAGCCTCCTAAACGGCTCCGATCAGACCCTCTCCACACTCTCTGAAAAGGAGGTTGAAGCAATACGAGAACTCTATGGCAAACTTTCAAAGCTTCCCCTGCGCGACTCCCTAGCTGCTCTGTGGTGTTTAAGGGATGCGAGATTGGTTCACGATTCTCTTTCCTGTGAGCTGAGAGATCTCTCGAGGTTAAGTCATGGCCCGTAATGTTCACTCATTCTATAGACTCTCGAACACGCACCATAGTCGAATGTTTCACCACTCCATCGTGCGATAGCCCAGCGTTGTCTCTGCCAGACGTCTATACGGAACCTCGCGAGTGGTCGCCTGATGTACACACCAACCTCCCCTCTCCAGAGGAAGTGTTCAACGCTCCTGTGCTTTTAAAACAAGGCGGATCCATCGTTGCAAAAGTCACAGAAATGCTGGTGGTGAAATATGGGCAAAGCATTTCCCTTCGAGAGGTCGCAGCAATTCTCTACGTTTCAGCCTAACGTCCGTTCCTGTCCCTCAGGTTCGTTGCCATATCTTCTTTCCATGATTCACTCAGCGAGTCTGCTTCCGGGAATGAAGATACATGGCATTTATGAGTACAAGTCTGAGCTCTTTTTATTCATGGAGTTCATACCCGGTCGTACCCTGAAGGATGCCTGGCCAGATATGACGGCAGCCTCGAAGGACACTCTGACCGAACAACTTAGGGTCCACATGAATTCTCTTCGATCGTTGCGCGGAACGTACATTGGGGGCCTTGGCTGTACTCCCTGTTTCGACCACATATTTGCCGACGAACCGCCTTCAGATTGTGGACCATTCCCGAACGTCGCTGCCTTCCATGACACTCTCGCCAAAGCCATAAACCGCTATGGAGTTCCGGAAGGCTTTCCTACATCACGGTCAAAATGTAGGCTTTTCAAGGATGATTACCACATCGTATTCTCTCACGGAGACTTTGCCTCCCGCAATATCATGCTCTCAGAAGAGGGGAAGCTGGCGGCGATCCTCGACTGGGAAACGGCTGGATTCTGGCCTGAGTATTGGGAGTGGATGAAGGCTAGTATTGATATTGAGTCGGAACCATATGACTGGGGAGATGCACTCGATCTTATCCTGGAGCCGTTTGATGCGGATGCATTGATTGAAAACATGTTCTTGAGAGTACTTCTGTTATAGATCACAAGTATGTTGAGGAGTCCCTTATCAGTTTTCTATATCATCGGTGCTGGCAATTCTTTGTGCCCGTAGACATTTCCGAATCTAGTCTCCGTGGCGCATACTTTGCGACCTCCCTCGAGTTCTTCGCTGATGCGTACGTTGTTCTCTCTAGTAGCCATATCGCCAGAATGCAAAGGATAGAACACGCACGTCTTTGACCTTCTTCACGCGGGACTCACGTATATTTACGGCCGTGCCTTCGTCGTGCCCCGCCTCCGCCACAGCAGAACAGGAGGTACGGATGCCCGCAACACCGCTTGCCCGCTCAGCCGGATGACCGTGCGGTATACACTTCTCAAGCTCTCCACAACAGCTAGGAATTTCGTTCTCGCCCTCGCATCGAGCGCGCCACTTGTCTCTCAATTTTTTCCGATGTTCCTTCCGCGCTGTTTTACGCATAATATTTTTACACATTCCGGGGCGCAGATCCACCGTGCGCTTCCTTCCTTGAGCCTCTGCGCTAGAGACCTGACCCGTCGAGCGTGCAGTGAAGATCCCGAGCGTACTCCTCGAAGGCATCTGCGGAGATGAGGTTATGTCTATCGCATTTCGTGCATCTTGTTGGAGATATTCTTGTGTTGGTGCTGGGTCTGATTCGTACGGGGTCAATGGAGGGAGTAAGCCGAATGTTGTGTACAGAGGACTGAGGACTGAGGTCGCGGACTGTCAGATTGAACTTGCACAGGCCAGATATCTCCCAGACATTCTCCGCTAGGTTCATGCGACTCGCATGCTTGTAACTAAATAAACAATTGGAGCTTCCGAGTTCTCGTGTGGTTTTGTGAGGAGGGATGATCGATGATCGATTGTCGATTGGATCAGCAAGGAGACCAAAAGAAAGGTGGACAGCGTGATCAGCAGGGCTGTGAACTGATGTCGATGGTTACAAGCCTGTGACTGTTTGAGTGGATCTCAAAGATTAAAGAAACAGAGACTGACGTTGTTGAGCAGGTCCCTCAGGGATCCAAAGGCAGATCACGGATAGCTGCCAATTGTTTCCGATTCCCTAAAGAATCAGTTATCAGTCTGTGCACGTATGGTGGTTGCTGACATAAAGTTGTACCCACACCGCATATAGTAATTTTCTCTTAGAATGGTTATCCGCTTTTTTTACTTTCCGTCTTTAGGCCACCCGATTCACTTCGGGTTTCCCGCTTCCTGTTCAAGATTTCCGCAACACAAAGTCGGCCGGCATTCCTTGAAAGTTTATTTCCGATGAAAGACTGGAGGAGGACCGATGGCTAGGGGTGATTGTCTGCATCTCTGCACCCATCCTCTATCTTCTCGCAGCTGCATTCACTCTTCACGTAGATTCTGTATGCTGCATAGATGTGAGTGTGCCTGATACTTCCTTCCTCCTTCTCTCCCTTGCTGATGTCGACACTTGCAGCTTTGGATTTATATCCTCTCCTCATCGTAGACAATAAACCAGCTACTGTGTGGCTCGTCGGAGAAGTCGACTCATCTTGGTTCAAACTTCGCGGTGAACCCTTGGCCGTTGTGAGCATCAAGATCGGTTCAAACACTTCAGATGTTTTGAAAGTGTCATGCTTCCAGAGCACCGGGAGTGGAGAGTATGCTTCTGTATGTTGAATTTCTTCTTTTAAACAAATATTTGTTATTCATTGCTTTAAGGTGGAAGCCTTCCAAGACGTATTTGATGCCGACACCAAGTTCGGCCCCAGGAACACTATGAGACAGATGCATGCCACGGACATCCACAAAAATGATCTCGTCCTGGTCAAATGTAACATCACTCGTTGGAGGGTCGATGCTAAAGGTAAGGCTTCATACGAGAAGGGCTGGACCAAGTGGCGGACAGGTTTCGAACTCGTCACTATAGCACGTCTGTATGATGGGCCCCAGGAGATTAGAGCTGTTGTCCTGCGCGCGGAAGTTTCATCATTCATCTAAATAGCCTCTATCTTATATGAGCCTGTGCTACTGCTTGTAATCTGTGCTACCTACATTTATTTTCTTCCCCACTATTCACTTGCAGTGATTGCCACCGTAAATTTACATGGCTTGACTACGGGATTTTCTTGTATACTATTACTATGACTACTATGACTACCGCCTTATCACATGTCGCTCTCGCAGAAATCGATGCTGTGAATATACGTGGGGGGACTAGGGAATCGGACATGGCGTGCGAATGCAGCGCCGCTCACCCACAAGTCGAGTGATTCAACGATTGAACTCGTATCCCTCTCTATTGCCGTCTCCAGGCCAGTCATCTTCTCGCGGGCTAACCAGAGAGCTATAACCATCTGCAGCCTGGCCACAGTCATCTTCATTGGGAACAATTGGGTCCTACTTATCTCCAGGCTGGTCATAATCATCTCCACGTGGTGGCCCATCCACACCGCCGGCCTCTCTCTGTCATGGTAGGAGTCGACTCGAGCGACCTGCGATTTCTCTACGCCCTTACTCAGATCGCGGGCCTCTTATTTACATAAAGTGTCAGCATTTCAGATCAAACCGATCAAGTTGCGAGGAATTACCTGGAGACGGTGCGGACGGACCTGAAGATGGAGAAGGGGTACTGTAAACCGAATAATGAGCGCTGTCGAGGGACCGCCACAGATAGACAGGTGACATACGACATCTGACGGCAATGGTGACGAAGATGCGAGGGTATGCGAAAGACCTGCCTTTTATCGACGTAGAATAGGTATGCACTACACATGGATTTTCCACTTAGGAAAGAGGAGCCGCGGAATTTGGCTGCAGATCAGTGGCGCGCTACCACCAGATTATCGATCGGTGCGCATTTGTGTCCGCGACCCCTGTTAATCTCGATATGTTTGCCGGATGTATATTTGCGTTGGAGCCAAACCATCGTAGGACCCCCGACAATTGGTGAAAATGCCTGATCCTGAGGAGCCCAAAATGTCCGTTAGCAGAAGCCGATTTCTGGCCTGAAATGTCCGCGAAAAACCAGGCCTCCGGCCCTCGGAGGTCAAATTTGTCCGGGTTTTGGACCAGGCATCCGTTCATCACAGAAATGTCCGGGCTCCCAGATCAGGCCTCAGGAGGCTCCAATTTTGTCCGTATTCACGAATCAGGCCCGAGTCGGGAGGCTCCATATTTCAGAACCATATTTCAGAACCGCTTTCCGAGCTGCGAGAATGAAGGAATGAGCATGCTCCTTTGTGTAACACATTCTCTCTATTACTTGAGACAGAATTCAAGGCTACTACGATAGTGACATCATAAGGTAAGCACCTTCTACTGTTCTTAGCGAGTTTCCATCTTCAGGAAGGCACTTATGTGAGGCTGCTGAGATGTCAACTACAAACTTCGAAGCGGCATGTCTGTGCGACCAGACAGCACCTAGAGAGCCTTTGAAGGCAGTAGTAAGTCCGAGCCCCCTTCCGCCCCGGTGCCGGCCTCATATGTAGATAGGTTCGGCCGGGGTCGGACTTTGTCCGGAGGGGGATCAGGCATCCATGATATCCGGTACGTCTGTCCGTGAAAAACCTCAGGCCATCCACGGGTTGACCCCCTGATTTGTCCGTGAAAAATCAGGGATGGCGCTCTCAAAAGTCCAAAATTTGTCCGAAATCGGCTCAGGGATCCTCCCCAATTGTCGGGGGTCCTACCATCGTCTGTCTCACACCCAGCTCTCTCTGAGTCCTGGATTATTGAGTAATAGTGCAGCGCACCATATCCTGCCACATAATGGTGGAGATGCCCGTCTCAATTTCCCGCATCGAAAAGCGGTCGACACAGAAGCGCGGAAGCCGGCTTCCATATTCGACGCATCCGCACGTCCATTTTTATCACCGCGACGATATAGGTGCCATGTACGTGCCGCCACTGACTCCGTGCGCTCTCTTTGGTAGGTTTGCCTAGTGGAGCGTGCGCCATGGAAAAATTCCACGACATTGCATCTTGAATTCCGTCCTCAGTTCGACCCGGTCCGGAAAACCAAACTCGCTCGCGATCGCGCGATCGCACGAACAGCAAACCCCGATAGTGAGCGCACAGCCGCGTACCCCTGTACACGCAGCTCTGCGCTGACAACAGCGAGGCCACCACCAGATCTCGCAGATGATCCCGCAGCGGACGCCTCACCCCGCTTCTCCGAAATCTCTAAGGGAAGGCACGGATTACAATGTGCGATCCGAGCAGACGCTGCCGCTAGTACCTTGCGTGCTGAGTGAAGGGAGCCGAGCCCAGGACGTAATACAACACGCGTGGCCGAGCGGGGGTAACAAATCCACAGCACACATCTCGGTATCAGGCCGCAAAACTTGAAGTCGCTCGTCAGCGCTGGGCATCGGTGCAGAGGAGAGCGCGAGCGCGAGCCGAGCCCCACAGGACGTCTCTCGCGCACGCCCGTCCGCATGCACGCACCTCTCTGGGCGCACGAGCAGTGGGCTTGCGGATGTGGACCGCGGAGCGGGGTGTCGGGTGCGGCGGGCTGTCGCGGGATCCCGCACGAGCAGCAGAGGTTCGTCAGGTGGCGAGGGTTTAGTGCCGAATGCGTATTCCCCGCGGGAGAGAGAAGGGGGGGGAACACCATGGGAATCTTCGGTGCGTGGGTGGGCGGAGAGCACAGGCCGCCACGCGGGTGTGCCCAGACGACGTGCAGTTGCTGTCACGCGCGACGGTGGGAGGCATGCGCAGGGCGGTCTCTGGCCCGACTGGCACGCGCGGGGCAGGGAGCATGGCGCAGTCGACGGGTTTGCGATGTAGAAACCCTAGATGCAGTAAGTAAGCGCGAACAACGAAGTGTCGAGTACCCATAGACGTAGTGAACGTGCCACTGCAACTCTGAACGCTTGCGCCAGTGGCATTGAAGAAGGCGTAGTGAACTGTTTGCATCTATTTATTGAGTGTGGCGGACACTCTGGCGCTGCAGTGACCGCCTTCGAGATCGACCTGTGAGGTTCAAATATCTGGTTTTCGACCTTGCGTTTACGAAGCTGCTAGTTTACCACTCGCAGCCA